AGGGGTGTGTACCACCATGCCTGGCCAGCGAAGCTTTGGCTATCAGAGGAGAGGGGAGGGTTGAGTCAGCTGGCTGCCTCCAAGTGGCCCTGCTCTGCCCTGTCACCCCATGCTCCATAAACTCTTGTTTTCCTCTTAAATAAAATGTAGATTATATTTCTAGGCAGGCAGACAATTTCCATCCTATTCTGATTTTATTTACCATGTGTTGTTACTTTCTGTTTCTTGATGCTCTGTCCTTTAGGGCCCTACCCTGGTCAGATTGTGAACCAACCAAAAGGAGTCCCAGGTACCTCCTTTAGTAAACTCCAGACTCTGTCCTCAGCCCTAAGTCCTGGGCCATGCCAGGATATCTGCCCTCCAGCCTGCACCCTGTGCCATCAATCCAGACTACCCAGCAGATGCCTGGCCTCCCCGACCCCCACTTTGGGACACCAAAACATGCATCTCCTTGGGCAGCACTCTAAACCTGACCACATCTGACTACATCTCCCTGGGACACATTTCAGAATGAAGTGTGGGTGGGGAAGGAGGAGGCCAGAGACAGAGCATGACCAGAAGGAACAGGTCTCGGGCACCTTGAACATTTTCTCAGTGGGGCCTTCAAAGGTGAAGATACACAAAGGATGGGGATGCAGCAGGGAGACTTTGGTCACATGACCACATGGCTCTGCAAAACTTGCCAGGGTATCATGACCATTGTGGAGCTGCAGCTTCCTCTCTGCTGCATGGGTGCTGGGGAAGTGGTGGCATGGCTGAATGTGGCTGAATGGGGCCTGGTGGAATCCACGTGGGTCCCTCTTGTCCACTTCCTGTTCTAGTAGGGCAAAAGCCAGACATCCTGGAGCAGAAAACAGTTTCCAGGAGCAAGGAGGATCACATCAACAGCAACTGCTAGAATAGAATTGGGATCTCACTGAGCAGCCAGGATGCAACAGTGTAGTGAGATGCATGGAAGAGGGTCCCAGGAGGCTCAGTCATCTGGAATCGCCCTGCTGCCAGGTGAGTCGGCAGGTGTAGCTGCCAGAGAAAGCTACATTTTCTTAAACAGGCTGGGAAAATGGCATTTCAGCATTGCTGTGAGACAAAAAATGATAAGAAACTATTATGGTGTAGCACACAGTCATGAATAAAAGCCACAGTAATTTCTGGTCAATGCTTGTGATTAATTTAAAAATGTTTAATTTGTTATGATTTTTTCTCTTATCCAGAATAAATATACCCTAATTATCTAAGTATCATAATTCCTCAGTCTTTTTTTCTCCAAAGGGGCCCCTCCATCCAGGATGGACTTCACATGTGCTGACCTGATCACCTGCCTGGCTTCCTGGGTGTCGGTGGAAGTGGGCCTGGACCTCTCTCACCATGGCCCACTTCTGTGCTGGCAGTTCTGAGCTGCAGGAGTAAGAGTCACACAGTCCCAGGACTCAGGCTTGGCTGCCCTCAGCACTGCTGCTCTTGGAGAGGCTGTGGAGGGGCCTGTGCTGGATATGTGGACAGCCCTCTGCAGGCAGGCCGAGCCTCCTTTGAAACAGCTCCCAGCTCTGCACTCATCCACATGCAATGCCTATTTGTAGCCCACAGTGGATGCTCAGGCAGCTCTCAGAACAGAAGCTGCAGGAACCACTGGCACACAGGTCCTACTGAGCTGGAACAGGGCCACCTGCTACTTAACATTTCTGCCCATTCTGTGAGGTGGTGTCCTTGTTGAGGTTTCTTTCTTTTTTATTTATATTTTTGGTACTGAGGATTGAACCCACAGCCTTCAAACTGACATTTACAGCACTTATTTTTTGAGACAGGGTTCACTAAGTGTTTAAATTGCCAGCTGGGCTCTAATTTGTGATTCTGCCTCGGCCTTCCAAAGTGCTGGGATGTGCCACCACATCTGGCTCCAGGCCTCTGCAGTGCCACATTTTCTGTACTTCTGAGCTTCCACTGGTGATAGAAGTGGTGTCTCAGGTCCCACCAGCAGCAGCTGTGGTGTGCCTCATGGAAAATATACAAGTGCCAGGGATGCATCCTCCCAGCCGGAGCAGAAGGAACCAATCCACAATGTGCACATACCCACAGCCATGTCTTTCCATGGGAATAGAAGGCTTGTTTTAATGTTGATCAGAGGCCAAAACTTCGACCAGGCTGGTGGGATCCAGCTGTCTATCCCAAGCAGCAGTTCCGAGTTCTATGGTTCAAGGGCTGCAGTCACCTGTCAGTGAGTTCTATGCAGGCCAGAACTGCCACAGTAACGAGTATCAAGCATTGATGTGACTGCCCAGAGAGCCACCTCCAGGACATCTAAAGAACATCTACTAATTAGTAAGAACCAGAAACCAAATAAACAGCTAGGATGTGTAACAGCTCATTATGGATCCCAGCAGCCAGGGCTGGTGACACTCCCAAACCAGCAAAACGCTGGTGTCCATACACAGCAATAGTGCCTGTGCAATTTAACTTGCAAAGGCTTTGGAGAACTCAGACAAAGTTCTGGGAGGAGCCAGTGCCCCTGGCCATGCGTCACAGACCCTGGTGTCTTAAACCACAGAGACACATCATCTCCATCCTGGAGGCTGAAAGCCAAGATAAAAGTGTCACAGGGCCGGTTCCTCCTGGGCTGAGAGGGAGACTCTTTCCTGGGCCTTGCTGTAGCTCCTGGTGATGCTGATTGTCCTTGGTGATGGCCTGGCAAGCTTCACCTGACCTCCACCTTCACACAGAGCTGTCCCTGCATGTATGTTGGGGTCCTGTGTCCAAATTTCCTCTTTTAAAAATATAGCAGTCCTGTTGGACAAGAGCCACTGTGAGAACTTCATTTATTTATTTTGGTTTTTTTGAGGTAGGATCTTGCTATGTAGCCCAGGCTAGCCTTGAATTCATGATAACCCTCCTCTCAGCCTCAGCATTACAGGTATATCCACCATACCTGGTGAGACCTCATTTTAAATTATTTCTGTGAGTCCTAGTGTCTAACTGAACTCACATTTTGAGGTGTGGGGGTACTCTATAAGAACTTTGGGGACATGATGTCCCCTCAAAGAGCAGTAAGAGAAGTGGACCCTCATCAGAACTGGATTCCATCTCTGGCACTGAGAAATGAAGCCCTCTATGTGGACTGCCCAGGCCAGGTCCTCTGTTCTGGGAGGGGCCAAAGGAGAGAAGGTACCCAGAGCTGCTGATTCTAGCCTCCAGGGTCCTCAGGAGAGGTGAAAGTCCTTCCTTGTGGACGCTGTGTTGAGCAGTCATTAGAGTTCTGCTGAGCTGCTGACTGCTCTGAGAGACATTCTAGGGAGCTTGGAGAGAACTTGATAGAAGGATCACTTATTTGTAGACCACTTTAATTAATATGCCGGAAATGGGAAGTTCTGGCTGTGTGTTTTCCTTTCTGTGATGTCTCCTGTGCACTCTGCTGGGTCCTGACTTGTCCTTGGGCACTGTTTTTCCCTGATGTCAATATAGAGTGACTGTGGGCACTGTGGCCAGGTCACAGCCCTTCCAGGTTGAGCCTGGCACTTGGAGGGTGAAGGTAGAGGGGCGCTGAAGAGTCAAGGACAGAGAGGATCCCCCAGTCAGAGGCAGAGCAAGGGAAGCGTAAGCATCTTGCTGACTGCCTCTGGACACTGGGCCAAGGGACAGCTAGTGTCATGGTTTATGTCTGTGGCCCCCAGGCCTCATTAGTTTGCACTGTGCATTTGTGATGGTTCATTGTCTAGTACTTGGATTGATGGTGTCAGTGTTACACCCACATAGGGGTGGAGCCAGGATGTGATGTAATGGCAGGAAGAAGGTGTGTGTTGCTCTTTTGCGGGTTCCTGCTTGCTGTTTGCAGCCGCCATGAACTGCGGCCCAGCCATGCCCGCCTGCCTTGGAGCCAACTGAGTGTGGACTGAAACCTCCAAAAACTGTAAGAAATAAACCTTTCCTTTCCCAACTTGGGCTTCAGGTATTTCTCTTAGCAACGAGTAAAAAGTAACTAAGACAGCTAGGAACGGGTGCTGGACTTTTCCTGAAAGCCTTACTGAGTCTTTGTACTGCTGGTTCCACCTGTTGGGATGTTCTGTCCTCAGCTTCCTGGGCACTCACTTCAAGCTGCTTGTCCACAGCCAGGGGTGTTTCCAGACTTACTTATCCATCAGTTTGAGGGCAGCCTGTCCAGATGCAGCCCTTAGGACACACTGCAGGGCCAGTGCACAGGGGACCCAAGGTCCCCTACCAGCTTCTCCTAAACAAGACCAGCCTCCCAACTTCCCAGTAGATCCCCCCAAGGGCAGGTGGTCTGCCTCCTGTCTGGGTCCAACTGTAGCAACTCCCACACAGGGAAATCACTCTCCCCTGCCTGTACCCTTCCTGGTCTTTCTGGTCCCTTGGGACTGCTAATTGTACTGTGCTGCGGAGTGTGGGCACCTCGAAGCCCATCAGGGACCAAGTGGGTCCCCACCAGGCCTCCTTAATTCTAATCCCTGACAAGGCCCACAGAAGCAGGGAGTCCAGAGCAGTGCTGGCAACAGAGACGGTGACTGTGTGGACATAACTCCCAAGAGAGGGCAAAGTTGTGTACACTGGGGCTGTCTCTCAGCTGAGCCCGACTCTAGCTGGCACTGTGGTGGGGCTGGGCCTTTCCCACCAGCTACAGTGTTACCTTCCTGTGAGCGGAGCTCCACGGGCCTTAGCCTATGGGCTGGACAGGAAGGGAGTTCCATCTGCCCTGGGACTTCCAGACGGTGCCGCTTCTCACCCAAATCCCGTCCTGCGTGGGAAGCGTGGGTCTGAGGAGCCGCAGGTGTCCCCAGCAAGCTCGAAAGCCCCGGGCTGATATCTCGAGGCTCTTTGCAGGGTAATGTAGTCCCAATTCCAGCCGCGGACCCGCCCATCCTCTCAGGGCGGCCACCCTAGCCCTGCAGGCCCCGCCCCTCACATGAGCCCGCCCCACATCCCTCAAGTCTCCGCCTCTCAGACCACGCCCTACAGACACCCTAACCGTCTCCCGGAAGTCGGCCCCTGCAGACTTTGACCCCAGACCCGCTATGCTCCCGCGACTCCATTCGGGGAGGTCCCGCCCCCTCCAAAGGCTCCTTCATGAGTCTCCTCCCTCCCGTTTTCTGGCAATCTCCACCCTCAGGTAGCCCCGCTCACCCTGAGCCCCCGCCCCGTGACTCGGTCCCGCCCTCCACGCGTGCGCAGTAGGCCGCGCAGTCGGAAGCCTGGAGCCGGTGGAGCACCGCTTAGTCCTCGCCTAGTACCCGGCCTTCTGCTCACCGTCAAGGCTCGGGCGGCTGGGCCGGGGATGGCAGCGGCCGCCGAGCCTGGGACACGTGCCTGGCTGGGCGACGGCTCCTCGAGGCCTGGCAGCCCGGCCTGCAGCCCGGTCCTGGGGGCCGGAGGCCGCGCGCGCCTGGGAGCGGGACGGGGGTCGGGGTCGGGGTCGGGGCCGGAGCAGGCGCCAGGGCGAGCGGGCGACACAGCCTCGGGACCCGCCGTACCGAGCCACAGCTTCCGGAAGGTGACGCTTACCAAGCCCACGTTCTGCCACCTCTGCTCTGATTTCATCTGGGGGCTGGCCGGCTTCCTATGCGACGGTGAGCGTGCGCCGCCGAGGACAGCCTGTCCTCGCGCCCGCCCGCGCCCTGTCCTGGCCCTAGTGCTTAGGGTGCAGGCCGGGCCTGGATGTCGTCCTCAGTGCGCGGCTGCCCACGGCCAGGCCGGCCCGCGTGAGCCCAGGCTGCCTCGCCCAGGTGTGGCATCCTGTCCTGGCCCCCACCCGCTTCCAGGCCGCCTCTCCCAGGTGTGGCATCCGGACTAGGCTCCCACCTTGCCTGGCCCGGAGCAGGGGCAGCCTTCCCTCCCCTGTCTCCCTACGCTATCCTGGAGGGCACGGACATTTGACACTAGTGTGTGCTTGTCCAGTCCTTCCTGCGCGGGATGCTTCATACATGGGTGCCTTCTGACCCATGGGAGTGGCCACCTTGATTTCTTTATCAGTTCTTAAACTGCCCAGGTGGCTCCCTAAGGTGGAGGCTGTGGGCATGTTGGCTAAATCAGCTCCACGTCTGAGCACACTGGTGAGAGATGGTGACAGAGGGCTGAAGGTAGAAGGCTAGACCAGTGGATCCACTGTAGAGGTGGAGCTCCAGATATGAGGCTAGGCCCTGGAGAGGTGAGATGATGAGGCAGAACTATAACTCCAAGGCTAGACCCCAGATCCTTGCAGAAGTGAGATATAAAGGCAGGACTCGGGCTAAGACTAGACTCTGGGCCCATTACAGATGTGACCCCTAAAGGGGGTCCTCCAGGCTGAGGGGCTCAAGACCCCTCAGCTAGTCTGGGGGCAAAGCAGCTCATGTGTTTTAGGGCTGGCTTGGGAGAGGGTCATAGGCCCCTCACAGGCAATGTCTGGAGAATGGGCTGGGACCGGGATAGACAGAGCCTGACCAAGGTGTGGAAAAAGTGGCCCCTCTGTGTCCAGGAGCACCCTTGGGTACTGCCTCTGGGGTGGAGAAGAAAGCTGGCCAGTGCTTTCCAAGTACAATGAGTGGGCTGCCCTGAGAAGGGTCTGACCTTCCTCCTGGTCCCCACTTCTCTCATTGTACCCCAGGCTGCTTTCAGGAATTTCCCCAGAGCAATCTGTGGAGGGACTTTGTCTTTCCTCTAATAGGGCTCTAGTGCTGAGCTGCAGGGTACCTTCTTGGGGAGCTGCTTTTTCCACTAGTGGGTGGCTTGAACCCCATGGGCAGTTTTATCCCAGGCAGTCTTGAGGTTGTGTCCCTTTGCCCAGTCCCCTGGCCTCTTTTGCTCTGCCCCCCACCCCCACCCCCGGCTCTGAATGTGCTGGCACAGGCTGCCTGCTGCCCCTTTAGGCCAGCCCTCCATCCTTCTTACACCTACCTGTCTTCCTTCCAGGAAGCAGCATTGCCCGATCCCTCCCACCCAGCCTTGGTTCAGTGTTCACTGCCTTTGGGGCCCAGGGCCATCTTCCCTCCTGGGGGTTCCTGCCTCCCAGAGTGCCCATTTGGCTGCCTCTGCCTGGCATAGCTATGGGGCTCTGAATGAGCCTGTGTAGCTGGGGGTGAAGGAAGGATGTCTTGGTTCAGCTCTGGGGCTGTACAGGCATGCACCAATTCACAAACACCCTGCCAGCTGGTAGCTCCAGGCTACCCCTCATGAGGTTAGGGCCACTCACTTGATGACAGGACACACTCAGCATCTTTCAGAATGGCCACAGTGCCAGGCCTTGGCTGTAGCCTGTCATGGGATCACAGTATCTGTGGTGATGTCCCCAGGGCTCTACTGTGGTGGTACTGACAGCAATGGTCCCCCCTCCCCCCCCTGCCCCGCTCAATGAGATGGGACCAGGAGACCTAGCTTTGGCAGGGCGACCTGCCGTGATGGGTGCCTGAGCCCTGCCACAGGATGCTGGTGCCCTGCTAAGGGCCTGGGGCTTTTATTGAGTGGGATGGTGGCTATCCAATGGGCAGTGGCAACTTGCAGCTCTCCCTCCCACAGTCTGCAACTTTATGTCCCACGAGAAGTGCCTGCGGCATGTGAAGACTCCATGTGCTGGCGTGGCGCCCAGCTTGGTGCGGGTGAGTGCTGTGGGCACGGGTGTCCGCTCCAGACCACACTGACCCTGCCTGTCTTTCAGCTTAGTCATACTTAGCTGGGGAGCTAAGGGCAGAGTCCTGCCCAGAGATGAAGCAGAGGAGCTACCAATGGGCTTCCAGAAGGGAGTTGTGTTGAGAAAAGCTGGTCCTGCCCAAAGGCCACAGATGACAGGAAATCTCCCAATGAGGAAGTTCAGGGAGTATAGGATATGTCGGGCAGGGAGCTGGGTGTGTGGCTGAGGGCAGCCTGAGGGGTTCTGGGGGATGGGCACAGTGTCCACTGCACCCTGCTCTACCTAGTTGTGACACTGACCAGTTTTGCAAGAGGTCACCATTGGGAGAAGCTGGGCCAAGAGCATAAGAGCTTGCTCTGTGGTTTCTTACAAGTGCACACAAACAGGCAGCTAATGTGACAGGCTTAAGATGGCTGGTTTTGGTCATGGGCTTCCCTCCATGGGACCCTTGGAGGGCAGTAAGCCACCTGGCTGGGGTGTGGGCTTCCCTTCTGTGGGCAGTGCTAGGCTGAGGAGGGCTGATGGTGCCCCCACCACATCCACTGACCTCTCCCACACAGCGATGGTGGGCTGGGTGCAGGACTGGCTGTGCAGTGGGCTCCAGTGAGGGGGGTCCACCTGCTGTGGGATGAGTTTGGCGGTGGTGTCCATCCCATGGCAGTGGAGAATGGCCTGGTTACTAGGCCTGAGTGCAGGAGGCCCCATGGGGATGTAGGTCATGTGTTGGGCACACCCTCAAGCCATCAGAGCTGGCAGGGTAGCCTCTCATGTGGATGTCCTAAGGCTGCAGCTTTCGTGAGTTCATTCTGAGTTTTCTTTTTTACTTTATTAAATTAAAAAAATTCAAGTATGTATTCCAAATATACACATGATGGAAATTTAGAGGATATAAGATTTTTCTGTTGTGTCTACACTAACTTCCTTTTATTGTGCCTGTTTAAGTTAGTATCGGAATCAGGATGACTGTCTACCCTTGCCTCTCTGTGAGCTCCCAGAGAGGCGTGTTGGGGACGTGCCTGACAGTTGAGCCCTCCTTCAGTTGCCTCTCTGTGGGCTCCCAGAGAGGTGTGTTGGGGACGTGCCTGACAGTTGAGCCCTCCTTCACTTGTGTGGTTTTAGGGCCCTTTCCCTTGCTCCCATTCTGCTTGATCAGCTCCAGGCCAGGCCTCCTGGGAGGCAGTGCCTAGCAGGACTAGGATATCCACAGACTGTCCTGGAGCAGTCCCAGCAGGACATCCTGGTGGGACCCATGGAGAGTGGCAGGCAGACAAGGGTGAAAGGTGGGCAGCCCAGACCTGAGGTTGTTTGTACCCTGCAGGTTCCTGTAGCCCACTGCTTTGGTCCCCCGGGGCTCTATAAGCGAAAATTCTGTGCTGTCTGTCGCAAGGTCCTGGAGACACCTGCATTCCGCTGCGAAGGTACAGTCCTTCACTCAGGCACCTGGGCTCTGCCATACACAGTGGCCCAGGGGCATGAGTGGAGATGTAGGGACTTCTAGGGGATGCAAGCCAGGCAGAGCACACTTGGGGTGAAGGGAGCCAGGCCCAAGGTGACAGAGGTTGGGTTGGCCCCAGCCAAGTGAGGCTGGCAAGGAGCATGGGAGTGGGGCGCTACCAGAGAGCCCTAACCCTGCCCACCCCCCAGTGTGTGAGCTGCACATTCACGCCGACTGTGTGCCCTTCGCCTGCAGTGACTGCCGCCAGTGCCACCAGGATGGACACCATGATCACGTGAGTGCATGGGAGCTGGGGCAGGATGGGCAGCTGGGGGCAATTGCCTGACTGCTCCCCTGTCCCCCAGGACACCTACCATCACCACTGGCGGGAGGGGAACCTGCCTTTGGGTGGACGTTGTGAGATCTGCAGGAAGACCTGTGGCTCCTCTGATGTGCTGGCTGGTGTTCGATGCGAGTGGTGTGGTGTCCAGGTGGGCACTCAGGAAGGGAAGGGCAGGGAAATCTCCAGTGGGCACACAAGATGGACTGGGGTAGTGGCCATCCAGGTGGGCATATGGGGATGGGATAGGGCCTTGCAGCCTCTGTGGGCACCAGCTTACAGCTGCGTCCCCTAGGCTCACTCACTGTGCTCTGCAATGCTGGCTCCTGAGTGCACCTTTGGGCGGCTGCGCACCATGGTTCTGCCCCCTGGATGTGTGCGCCTGCTATCCCGAAATTTCAGCAAGATGCACTGCTTCCGTATTGCAGAGACCACAGCCCCAGAGCTGGGTGAGCAGAGGGGAACCTGGGGGTGCAGGGCCAGACAGGGTGCTGAGTGTGAAAGCCTGCTCATCCCACAGGTGACAGGGATGATGGCATGGATGGAAGTGCTGCTTTGGGCCCTGGCAGGGATATGCCAGCAGCCCCTGAGTCCAGTAAGTGCCCCTAGTAGCCACATCTCACCCTCCTGTCCTCTTCTCCTGAATTCTTAACTGCTCCCCATTGACCAGGTAAACAGACCCTGAAGATCTTCGATGGCAATGACACCATGAAGAGAAACCATTTCCGCCTGGTTACTGTGCCTCGCCTGGCCAGGAGTGAGGAGGTGCTGGTAAGGGAGGTCTGGGATATCAGGAGGCCTAGTGCCCCTGGCCTGCAACCTTTCCCCTGCTGGCTCCCTACCAGCTCTCCTACACTGGGCTCCCCAACACCTGGCCTTCATCTGCCCCACCTCTCTCTGTGCCTCATCTCCTCCCTATACCTGGGCCCTCTACTCCTGCACGCCTGCATCTTCATACCTGTTCTCCCCACCGGTGCCCCACACCCTGTAGGAAGCGGCGCTGAGGGCCTACTACGTCAGTGAGGATGCTGGGAACTTTGAGCTTCAGGAGTTTCCTTTGCCCTCACCGGCTGCTGATGCCCAGGCCCCAGGAAAGGCTGGGAGTGGTGGCTCAGCGGAGGAGGATAGCAGCAGGGGTTCTGGGGCCCGTGAGCCTGAGGCCTGGGTCATCCGTGCACGGCCCCGCACCCAGGAAGTTCTGAAGATATACCCTGGCTGGCTCAAGTAAGACCCGAGGCTTTGGGTCTGGGGCAGTAGTGGGAGACTGGCCATGGCCCAAGCTTTGAGCGTATCCCCCACAGGGTAGGTGTGGCCTATGTGTCCATCCGGGTGACTTCCCAGAGCACAGCACACTCCGTGGTGCTAGAAGTTCTCCCATTGCTTGGACGCCAGGTGTGTATGGGCCATCTGGGGCCACTACTTCATGGCCAGGCGCTGTCCCTGTGGGTGTGCTGGGAGAGTACAGCCCCAGACCTGACACTCACCCCCCCTGCATAGGCTGAGGGTCCTGAGAGCTTCCACCTGGTGGAGGTGCTCATGGGCAGCAGACAAGGTGAGTACAACCTGTCCTTTGCCACTCCTGCCTGTGCCTTGCCTACCTGTGCCCTGGGCTCAGGGTGGCTGTTATGGAGGTATAGGGGAGTTGATGGATGTTTGTGCCTCTGCAGTCCAGCGGATGGTGCTGGCTGACGAGGAGTCCCTGCTCCAGCGACTTCGGGACATTCGGCAGGTCAGTGGGGCAGATGCCAGCTTCTAGGAGAGCAGGCCCCAGGGACCCAAGGGGCGTGTGGGCATCCAGAGTAGGCCCCATCCTCTCACATGGCTTCCACCAGGATGCCCAATTCCCCTGGTGGAGGAATATGAAACAGCCCACATGGGTGGTGCTGCCTAGCCTTCTCAAGCCCAGTCTCTTCTGCAGACATCCCTGCGGCAGGCCAGCCAGACACGATTCTACGTGGTTGAGAGCAGGGCTGTGGCCCCCCATATCTCCCTGTTTGTGAGTGGCCTGCCACCTGGCCTGTCCCCTCAAGAGTATGGCAGCCTGCTGCATGAGGCCATGGCCACCAAAGGTGTGACCCCGGGTGGAATGCGCACGATTGGGAGGGAACTGATGTGGGCTAGGTCCTCCTACCTTTCCCTGGGACTCTTAAGTGCCCTTCCTCTGTGGTCACTCCTCAAGGTGCCTGTATTTTGCTTGTGGAGGCACAGGGGCCCTGTTCTGGGGGTGGGCTTAGAGGTGCCTGGGCTATGCCACACTGGATGTGATGCCACAAGGGTTGGTCTGGGTGCTGGATACTCTGACCACCATCTGTCTGTGCAGCTGCGGCGGTGTCCGTGAGCCATGTCTACTCCCAAGGTGAGCTATTGCCTGACAACATCCCTGCCTGTAAGGCCAAGGCCACCCTTCTCTCTCCTGTGGGCACAGGCTTCTCTGCTGCAGCTGTCTGCCCAGTGATGTGTCTGGTTTTGTCCTGGTTCACTTCTGATGCTTTGCTGAAATACTCTGAGGCTTGGCTGTTGTCTAAGACTTGCCCTTTCCAGTCTGTGCCTTTTCTTGGGGAAGAGTTCATGTGCACCTGGCCTCCCCATTTTGGGTGCCCATAGCCCTGCAGTACCAGTGGCTCCAGGCCAGGGGTAAGGATGGGGGTGAGGGGCACCCCCCTGAACCCAGCCTTCCCTGGACATGGATCTTGTTGCTGTGGACCTCCCTCAGTGACTGACCTGAGCAGGTTGCATAGGCCAATCTGGCCTGAGTAGTGGCTCCCCTGTCACAGGTGCAGTGGTGCTGGATGTCACCTGCTTTGCTGAGGCCGAGCGACTGTACATGCTAGCGAGGGACACAGCTGTGCATGGCCGGCCACTGACCACCCTGGTGCTCCCAGATGTGCTGGTGAGTGGGCAGTTCCAGGCCAGTGTTCATACCCCTAAAGATGTCCACACCCAAGGATGTCCATACATCCATGCAGCTGGGCATGGTCTTGTCTGCCATCTTCTTGACTTTGCTGGGCTGGCAGGTTCCATCTTGATCAGCCTGCATAGTAGCCAAGGATTGATAAGGTTGCTCACTTTACAACAGAGGGTGGAGATCAGAGTATCTATACTTGTCCAAGGTTGCCCAATGGCAAGACCTATTTCTTGGGGCCCATGGGGCCAGAGTTGGCTATCTGGATGCTGAGGCCTCTAGCCTGTGGGGAGATTGCAGGATGCAGGACACTGCTGTAGACCAGACGAGTATGTACGTACGCTAGTGACTACCTCACTAAGGACAGAATGTGACTATTTGTGCTGCTGCTCACCTTGGTGTTTTGCAGCCCAGCTCTGAGCCTTGGGCTGCTTCTGGCCAGCTGGTAGAGTTCCTGATCTTGGAAGCTACTGTCAGGAGCCGGTAGTGGCAGGAAGAGGATTTAAGCACTGGGCAGCGTAGGGCTAGAGGCATAGCTTGTGGACATGGCATGTATGAGGCGACCCCAAGTTCTGCAACCAGACCCCACTCTGCACATGTGCAGTGCTGTTTGAGTCTCAGTCTGCTTGCCCTGAGGGTCCCAGGAGCCAGGTGTCCATGGCTGTTCTGCACCCTGAACCTTGATCTGTTCTGGGAGCAGCATTAGAGCAGAATGAGGCTGGCATCTGATCCTGGGGTGGGTGACACTCTGGGTCCCTCCTGCCTCTGCCCCGATCATTGCCCGTGGAGGCAGCCTTGCTGGATATGAGGCTGATGCCACTTTCTCTTTCCTGTCAGCTGCCTGCCCTGGGTAGTCCTGCCTACCAATGGGCCATGTGACCCTGAGTGTGTCCTTGCCCCAGCCACGGCCCACCCTATGGGTGTGCCTGGCCTGTTTGTCTCTTCTCAACTTACCATGTCATGAAGGCTCCAGCCCAGCCTACCCTGTCTAGATTCCTGAGCTGCTTCTTGGGCTTTTGTTGGAGAGATAGGTTTGTCCCAAGCCCAGAGGGTTGGGCAGCTGCCTATGTGCCAAGTACTGCCCCTGAGTACTGCTGACTTTCAAAGGATGTGGGGTGGCTCCTTGAGTCCAGCTGGCTGGTTGTGCCAGGCAGAGGCCCCTGTGGCTTCCAGGCTGATAGGTTCAGGGCTTTTGGCACATATCACAGTAAGTCTGGCCCTGGCCTTCATGCTTAAGAGTTCCAGTTGGCTGGCTGGCAGCCAGGGTAACCCTCTTGGGGAAGGCTGTCCTGTGTTCAGTCTTATGGTGGGGACCAACATGTGGCCCTGGGGCATGGCAGGTAAGGATGCAGCCTTGTCTTCCTCAGGAGGGATACCCTAGCTTAGAGAGATTGTGGTCCCAGGCTGGGCACTGCTACTAGCTGACATGGGGGACCACAGGAGACCTCAGGCCCCATCCTCACCTGTTCTTGCCCCTCACAGCACACGAAGCTGCCCCCAGACTGCTGTCCCCTCCTTGTGTTTGTGAACCCCAGGAGTGGGGGCCTTAAGGGCCGAGACCTGCTCTGCAGTTTCCGGAAGCTGCTGAACCCTCACCAGGTCTTCGATTTGACTAACGGGGGGCCACTTCCTGGGTAAGTGTGGGTCTATGGGCATACACAGGAGGCACCCTGCCCTGACCTTCCAAGTCCTCTATGTGGCTAGAGATGGACATTTGAAAACAAAAGGGGTATGTGGTTCAGGGTAGGTCCTGCCTGCAGCAGGGCACCCTGCAAGATGGCGCGTACTCCTTTCTCCCACACAGGTTCCATCTCTTCTCCCAGGTGCCTTGCTTCCGCGTGCTGGTGTGTGGTGGCGATGGCACTGTGGGCTGGGTTCTCACTGCCCTGGAGGAGACACGGCACCATCTGGCCTGCCAGGAGCCATCTGTTGCCATCTTGCCTCTAGGCACAGGTGGGGTCCTCCATGGAGCAGGAGGGTGGAACCACAGGGTATCCCTCCCCCAGGTTTTGCCCCAGGTCCATGGTGGGACCCCTGACCTTTCATGGTATCTTCATCCTGTGGTGGGGTCTCTGTCTTATAGGGGGGCTGTCCCATGGTAACCCCTCTATTGTGAGGTAAGGTCCCTCCACGTCTTGCCTGTGTTCCAGGGAATGACCTCGGTCGGGTCCTCCGCTGGGGTGCAGGCTACAGTGGAGAGGACCCATTTTCCATGCTGGTGTCTGTGGATGAGGCAGACGCTGTGCTTGTGGACCGCTGGACTATCCTGCTGGATGCTCACGGAGCTGCTGGTGCAGAAAACAGTGTGCTGGATGCAGAGCCCCCCAAGGTACTATGTGGGCTCTGGCCCTTGCTGATGACTCTCCTGTGCTCCCCTGCTCCCAGCCATGCTGTGGGGCACACAGCCTTCCTGGGGTGCTGAGTGGCTGTGCAGGGCAGCCCAGCAAAGGGCCCGCTGTGGCAACAGAGCAAATAGGGTTGGAGGGGAAGCAGCCAGACACAGCACCGGCATCCTGGAAGAGTGCTCTACCCCTAGATTGTGCAGATGAGTAACTACTGTGGCATCGGCATTGACGCTGAGCTCAGCCTGGACTTCCACCAGGCTCGGGAGGAGGAGCCTGGCAAGTTCACCAGCAGGTACTGCGGGGTGGGCAGGCGCACCATGTTTGGCCACGTGCTGCCCCTAGTTGTGACGCTGACTTGTTGTGCCCCATAGATTCCACAACAAGGGTGTGTATGTGCGAGTTGGGCTGCAGAAGATCAGCCACTCACGTGGCCTACACAAGGAGATCCGGCTGCAGGTAGAGCAGCGGGAGGTGGAGCTTCCCAGCATCGAGGGCCTTATCTTCATCAACATCCCCAGGTGTGCAGGTGCTGCCGCAACAAGGCTTTGCAGGCGTAGGCTGGGCTGGGCCCTGGGCCTAACTCTGGTACACCCCGCTGTCTCTCGGGCAGCTGGGGCTCAGGAGCTGACCTCTGGGGCTCTGACAGCGACTCAAGGTTTGAGAAGCCACGCATGGATGATGGGCTGCTGGAGGTAGTTGGCGTGACAGGAGTTATGCACATGGTGAGCACTGGGCCATGGGCAGGCTGCTGTGCTGCCCCATGGCCTGCTAAACTGGCTCCTCCTCCTCCTCCTAGGGCCAGGTACAGGGCGGGCTGCGCTCTGGCATTCGCATCGCCCAGGGATCCTACTTCCGTGTCACACTCCTCAAGGCCACACCTGTGCAGGTAGATGGTGAGCCCTGGGTCCAGGCCCCAGGACACATGATCATCTCAGCTGCAGGTCCCAAGGTATGGTGGGTGGCTGCAGCTGAAGGGTGGGTGGGCCTGGGCCCTCTATGCATCAGGAAGCCTTGGGAGCTCAGGTGGGCGGTCAGCCTTTCAGGCCCTGTACTCCTCAGTGGAGATACCAGGATTCTCAAAGAGGGCCCGGACAAAAGGAGCCTAGCAGGCTGCAGCATTGCCCTACCTCTAACAGCGCCTTTGTAAGCAGAGCTGACAGTGGTTGGCTGCATCCGGGTCCCAGGGCCACAACCTGGTGTCCCCAGCTCTGATCCATCCTGCCCATCTTGGAACAGGTCCACATGCTGAGGAAGGCCAAGCAGAAGCCCAGGAAGCCTGCAGCCATCAGGGGGGATGCTGTGCCTGCCCCTGAGGGCAGCGCTAAGTAGGGGCCTAGAGGTCCAGGTTGCATTGGAGCCGTCCATTCAGTGGACTTGTTGCAGCCCTGCCCACACTACCTTCCTGGGGCCAGGATGCCTGCAGCCCTTTTCTCTATCCAGTGTCACGTGGAAACTGCTAGGTGGATGGGGGCTTCTTTTCCCCAGCCCTGCATAGTGGCTGGGACAGGGGAGCACAGGGCTCCTGGCAGCATAGCACTGGAATGAACTGTTTGGCGGCCTCATGTCCCTCAGGCTATCCCCTGGATGTCCCTTTGGAGCAGACATCTGGCGTTCCTCCCCAGTGTGGGCAGGCAGTGTGCCACCCTGGTGGTTATGGGGTGACTGCCTCCTGCCTGGCTCAGAGGTGTTCCTTGACTCCTCCCTTATCACTGCAATGGGGTTCTGCCTGGGAAGGTGTTCATGGGTGCTGGGTGGTACCCAGTCTCACTTGGGAGAGGGGATCTCTGTTTACCCTCTGGCAGGGTGAGCGTGGGTGGCTGCAATGTGGCAGCTGGAGTGCGGGCTGGGCCCCGAGCATTCCTTCTCAAGCCCCTGGGTGAGCATGTAGTGCTTAAAGGGGACCAGAAGCAGGGCTTCCTGGTCCAATCGAGTGAACATGTAAATAACACCTGCCACATGGAGGAGTGGAGTGGATTTAATGCCCTTGTTGTTAAATGTAGCACTTTACATAATGCTGTTTGCCAGCAACCTATGATTTATGTGCACTGACAAAGACACAGCTCCCACTCCACCCAGGCAGCACTGCTGCTGAGCCCCACAGGGAATGCTGTGCTGGGACCTGCCTGGTGTGAGTGAAGCTCTTTCTGTGCCCAACAGCTGTCACCCCCCTCCCCCCATGCTGGAGGAATCTGACCAAAAATAAGCAGCTCACACATGCAGGGAGTCTACAGCAGCTCCCCAAAGCAAGGGACCACCAGGTTATGGTGCTGGGTTTGCACTGTAGTGGGCCTCAGCCCTGAGAGTGGTCAGCAGCCTCCCTGGAATGTGCCACACCACATCCCTTCCCTGCTTCTGTGAAAACTGCAGACACACACACCCTACTCTGTTGGGGCTCGGCATAGCAGTCCTTATGTTTACATCACTTACCATCTCCAGAAAAGTCTCTAATGGTATAGCTAGACTTTGACTTCAACTTGCTAAATTGTTTGTAAATTGTGCTCAGTGTGGTCTGTCTTCTATTTAAGTGAGATCACCTATAGGGCTGTGATCCTGAACCTTAGGCCTCCTCCTGTGACTTACTGCTACCTGAATGTGATCTTATACTTGGGACAAATAGAGTTGGGTTTCTGTGTCCTGTAGTGCCCTCCCTTGTTCTTGTGTCCAGTGAATGAGCATGGGGAGAGGGGCCAGTTGGACTGAGGGCCCCAGTAGTGCTGCAGGAACTGGGTAGCCAGTCCAACCAGCTGAATCTTAAGAGAGGTGCTGCTCAGGGCTTCAGGCAGAGGCCAAGGCAAATGGAGTGGGGTGGACAGAGGATCTGGGGTCCTGGGCAGCTTGGCTGCCTGAAGCCATTCAGATGCAAACCCAGGGCAGCTTGTTTGAAGTTAAGGGAGAGACCAGTATTTTTCTGGCAGTATCTGGGTGAGGAGAAGCAGAGAGAGAAGCATACATCCTCTGGATAGACAGTGTTTCACAGTGGACAGAATATCTACAGCATTGGTGGGATGGGCAGGTAGTGGGTATGGCTTCTGTAGTGCTAGCAGGAGGCAGGCAGGAGGGACTGGGTGTCAGTGTCCACCTCACTGGCCTGGCCTGGTGGGAGATGTGCTTGCCGCAGGGACTGTAGGCCCTGCAGGGCCACCAGGGCAAGGCGCACGAGCAGACGCAGCAACAGGAAGGCGAAGGGCACGGAGATCTGCATGAGGTGGAAGATGGCTGTGCTGAACCGGCTCAGCAGGCAGGTGGCAGTGAAGGCCAGCAGGCTGGCGCAGGGATACAAAGCGAGCTTGGCAAACATGAAGGCATGTTCTCGCCCACCAAACCGCACTGCTGGCTGTAGTGTCTCCGCCTGGTGCAGCAGGGCTGCGGTCCAGATGGCAAACTGGAAGATGCTAGCAAAGAAGATGATGGCGCAGCTGACGCGTACTCGCTCAAGCTCGTCCTGGGGCTGCCGGATGAAGGCTGAGGTCTGCTGGTAGGCCAGGGGTAGGCCACCCACAAAGGCCAGTGACAGTGTGTTGAGTAGCCCCATAACCTGTGTAGCCTTGCGGACGTGCAGGAAGAGTGAGTGGTGGGCGAACCATAGCAGTCCCACGGTGGCGAAGGAGCCGAAGTATGCCAAGAAGTGTGGCCCGTATTCACCCAGGGCTGCCACCAGGCTGCCGTGGAACTTCTCCATCACGTCCTTGGGGTTTGGCACGTTGTCCTCGCTGGGAAGTGAGAACACAGGACATCTGTGCCAGTCCCCTAGGCCCAGGTGGGAGAGGGTCTAAGTGTCACAGAATACATTTCAGGAGAATTGCTAGATACTCATCACACTGCTAAGTACCTCCAGCACTCATCAAAATGCATACCTGCCTGGTACCTGTGGGTTCCTTGCTGACCAGCAGGTTTAGGGCAAGCCCAGCCCTCCAAAAGCCTGGGGCCTCCCTGCCTCTGCACCCCTCTGAGAAGCACCAGCAGGGACCAGACACCACTCTGGGTGGGCAGCTGTCCTCTAGTGGTATATCTGGGGTGGGCACCAAGGAACAGCAACTTTTATCAGCTGGGTGCAAAATGAGTGGGCAGGATGGAGGCAGGATACAAAGCCTGGGGGGCTGCATGGGACAAGATCCACAGGGCACAGTGGCTTTCCTCGGCCAGGCTGTCTGCCCCAGCCACATCCTCCTACCCCTAAGGAGAAGCAAGGGGAGATTGTCCCTCATAATCTTTTTTTTTTTTGGTACCGGTGATTGAACTCACGATCTTCTACTTGCCAGGCAGGTGCTTATGTCATTAAGCTAAATTCCCAGTCTGTCCTTGATATTCTTAAACCAAGGCCTCAGGAATGAGGTACTAAGAAAGGTTTGCTTCCAATTTTTAAAACTTAATGAGTTAAATAGGCAGTATCAGGAAAGTAAGACTATCAGATACAGAGCATAAAACCAGAATGTTCAACATGTTTAATGCAGCGACTGTGCCCTGAGATGGGGAGTGAGGACCAGACAGTTTTTTTTCAAGAAAGACTTAAGTGAATAGGACACTTAGAAAAAGAAGCCATCAGTGAGTTCAGAAATCTAGCAGAGTTGAGTGTCAACAGTGGCAAGAGGAAGGGCTGATAACACAGAGGGGACTAAGCCCCAGGGGTGCCATGCTGTGCCAGGTCCCCTCTACCTGGAACCCCAACTCCAAACCACCCTCCCTCCACTTTCTGGGAACCCTGCCACCTCTGGTGTGGGGCCACTCCTCCTCTATATGCTCTCAGCTCACAAACGAGGCACCTGAAAGGGGACTGGACAGCCACTAGTGGGGTCCTCACCAGATGTCCAGGATGAGCAATGTGGCCACGATGGCATAGACCCCGTCGCTGAAGGCTTCTACACGCTCCTTGCTAAGGGGCTCATGCAGGTCAAAGGTGAAGAGCTCCACATTGTGGTCTGGGGGCTGCCCGTGACCTATGGATATGCCAGGAGGGAGGAGTTGGCCTGGTTCCTGTGACTGTGGGGCCAACATGACCATCACTACCCTCATCCCCAAGGGCTGGGTCATATAGGCCAGAGAGAGGAGATGGGTAGGGTACTAGGGATCAGGGCAGCCAGCCAGAGTCACCATGCAGCGTGTCCAGCCCCACCTGACATCCTCAGGGGCCTCAGTGCCTACCCACGAGCCTGTCTCTGCACCACCTGGCAGCTTTGCTGATGTAGGGGAGGAAGATGATGGTCACCATCAGCAGGTATGACTGCAGGGAGACACAGAAAGTCAGCACCTGCTCTCACAGGGTGGGAGCTGTGCACCCTGGAACCTAGAGGCTACTCCAAGGAAGGGGCAGCTGGAGAGACAAGAAAAACACGGCATTGTCATAGGTGAAGATACAGAACCCAAGCTCAGGACCCTATGCAGAGTGCAAGCATATCCACAGATAGAGTGGCAGCTTGATGGGAACACAAGCAGTGATTACAACTCAACAAAAGACTGGAACCCAACTGGGATCAGCTTTAAGACATGGGAAGACACTTGGCAGAAAGGACACCCAGTGCAAGGGGGCATCACCACCAACACCAGGACCCTGGAATCAGAGATGGCACCTGTTGATGAGGATGTAGAGAAAGAAACTTCACATACTGCTGATGGGGAGGCAAATAGCACTGTTACTATGGCAAACAGCGTGGAGTTCTCAAAAAACTAAACCTAGAACAACCACATGATATAGCAAGTCCACTGCTGGGTGTGTACACTACATCTCAAGACAAATGTGAAGAGGTGGCACATCCACTTTCACAGCAGCACTGCTCACAAAGGCCTAAAAACCCAGCATCTGTGACTGAGAACACTGGACAACAAACAGGGGCATAACTCTTTATAGCTCAATGCGATGACAGAGAATTGCACCACAGCCTCTCCACGTATTGCCTGCTGTCCTCCACCTGGCCTCATCAGACATGCCTGCCACCTTTGGACTGTCCCTCTCAAGCCAGGAGTTGGCTGCAGGCCACTACTATCATGCCCGCTCTCCTTGATGACTGCCTGCCTGTGCAGGCCTTACCTGTCCTCACCCCATGCTGGCCACCCTGTCCCCATTCCTGCTGCTCCTGACCAAGTGAATATAACCAAGGACACCCTGCCCAACTCACATCCCTCTTGCCACCTCTTTATGGTCCAGCCCCAGCCTGAACCACTGCCTTCATCTCTTCCCTAAGCTGCCGCCAGCACAAAATGATATCTGTGAAGCAACCAGGCCACATGGCCAGCCATGGACTTCAGCACACACTGAAGTCCACCCGCCTTCTTGCCCTCACCAGACGCCTTGCTGCCAAGGTACTCTGCTCTGCCTGGCCTCTTGATTTGGCCCTTGAGGGAGGGGCCAGCAAGGTCAGGTGTTCAGCAATGACTGTAAGGTCACAGGTACTCACCAGCTCATCTGCTCTACAACTACAGTCCTGGACATGCCCACTAAACACTTTCATCAGCATCTTCCCCCAGGGTGCAGCCTACTGGTTAGAAACCCAGTGGACTAAACAGTGTACATGTGAACAGTCAACGAGCTGGCTCTGATGTCTGTGCCACTCACTACCAAGCTAGGGTTCTCATTCAAATAGAAATTGGCTGCTGGCTTTCAAGCCCATTGGCAGGTCTGGGCTTCTGTGCTTGAGCTGAGCCCTCCCCTGGGGCTGTCCCAGCAGCACTCACCATGGGGAAGAAGAAGAGGGAGAAAATGGCTGCAGCAAAGCACAGCGCTGGGCCACGGAGAACGAGGAGCAGGATGTGCCGCTGGGTCTCGGCCCTGTGGGTGGAGCTGCGGAGCTGCGGGCTCAGCAGGTGTGGGAAGTGGAAGGCATAGCCTATGATCAGCGCCTGTGGGTGGGCAGGCAGCCTTGGTCAGCATACACAGGCAGGGGCTGGGGGGGCTCCTGGTGGCTGGGCACCCCAGGGTGTGCCAGGTGAGGATGGGAATCCCTGCCCTGTGCCTGATGCTGTGAGGACATCCAGCCCAGGTCAGTAGGGCAGTTGGCACCCACACATGTGCACCCTCCCACCTGCCAGTCGGCACCCTACCTGCACAGCCCCGATGGTGATCACACACACACAGAACAAGAAGATGCCCAGAGGCACATCAGGGAAGGTCACCATCAAGGAAAACTGTGTCCAAAAACAAAATTCATGAGATTATCAGGCCCTGCCCTGGAGCTGGCACTGCAGTGTGCCTCCTGGAGCCATGCTGCGTGCAGCAGACAGAATCAGCTCAGCTGGGGATAGGGCAAAGTGGGGGTCTGTCCATCTTGCCCCCCGAAGAAGCAATCCCACCCACTGAAGCAGGCCTTAATGCTAAAGTACTGTCAAATCCACTGTGAGTCCCCAGATCTGAATTTTCCGTATCACTGTTGGACTGACTGTAAGTATCAAACTGAGTGTAAACATGAGATCTGAATGTGAACATCAAACTCTGAATGCACTCTTGCTTCAGCCCTATGGGGATAGGTGGGCACAGTGCAGCAAGGCCTGGCAGGAGCTGGGGGGCCAGTGACCCTCTCATCTGTAGTCTCTTGGTTTTCGTTCCTTTTTTTTTTCAAATGGGTCTCAGGTCTCACTATGTTGCCCAGACTGGACTCAACAGATCCTCCTGCCTTAGCCTCCCAAGAACCGGGGAGCACTGTGCCCAGTCCAAGTGGTCTGTGCCTTTACCCATTGATCGCCACACCTTTCCCCTCCTTGCAGCCCTATGGCCGAGTCCCTGAACCAGTTCCCTGCCCTGCATTTCTAAGCAGGGATGGGAGCTGGCTGTACTCACTGTGTAAGGCAGGAGAGTGATGGTCATCATGCATGCCTAGAGAGGAGGGAGGGAGGGGTCAAGGTCGCATAGCCTGGGATAGGGGCACTGCAGGGCAGTGGCCAGGTGCCTAGAGGCCTGTGTCCCTGTCCAGGATGGGCAGGTGGGGTAGCTTTCCTTGGCATCCTCAGGCCCACAGCTGAGCTCTGGGCCACATTGCTGAGACATGGGGGCTTTCAGGGCCTGAGGGGCCAGAGCTGGGAGATAAGCAGCTGGCCATGCCTTGACTCCTCCTGGGGGATTACATTACAAACCAACATTTGCAAAAGGACAGGAAAAACTTACCAGGTTGAGCAAGGCAAGTGTATCATCTATTTTCCCAACAACCTGAAACAACCTACACAAGGTGAGAACAGGAAGAGAGGGGCCGTTGGTTAGAAGTGGTGTGAACAGGATAGAGCACACAGTCACGGCATTCCTAGCGGGCACTGTGCCCCTGAGCTGTATTCCCGGCCCAAGACGTGACCTTTGACCAAAACACTGCTCTGCAAATGAGGTTCAGAAAATTCAAAGACAATGACACACTTCCCCTAAAAACATATTCTTCATTCCCACGTGTTCTCTTGTTTTGCTTTCAGTTTAAAGTACTCAGCTCTGAAAAGAACCATTGCAGACACAAATGTGTACATGGGCACAGTGTTTCCAAAGCCCCTGGAGCAAGTTCATCCTGTGGGCCAGGGCCAGGACAGCCACAGAGGCTGGACTGGCCCAGAAGCCCTGGGGAGCATCCTTTAGCTGCCTGCCTGCAGGTGCATATACCAAGGGCTCCCTCATACAGTCAGCTTGCTCTCCACAAAGTGCTCTTTCCATTCCTTTGACAAGATTTCGCACACTGAGCTAAAGCTACCTTTAGCCAGGGAAAAATATGAGCCTGGCCTGCCAGATCTGGGCCCTACCCCAGGGTTTCCCTAGCAATGTCAGCCCTGGTTCCAGACACTGCAGATAGCACAGTCCTGCTCAGGGTTCAGCTTTCACTGAAAGCTGAACAGGGCCATTGCCTGGGACCCAGCAGCTCTGCAGGAGTGCCGAGCGCCTTGACTGTGCATGTAGGCAGCATCCTGGAGCAGGCAGTAAGCACAGAGCAGCTTCTCACAGCCCTGAGCAGGCCCAAGCCCCGCACCCACTCTGCTGACAGGGCCTCGGTATAGAGCCTCTGGAGAGTGAGCCACAATGTTCAGCCAGGGCAGCTGGGCAGAGCCAGCAGCCACCCAGTACTGCTAGCCCATGAGCCTCCCACACACCACAGAGAAAAGTAAAGTCCTCCCCCTGAGATCTGACCATGGCAGGCCATAGGCACCACTAGAAATAGTTACCACGCTGAGAACAGAATATGACATAAAATGTGTGGCATTTCCAGCACAGTGCAAACACTTAGCAAGATCTGTGGCTTTTTCTGTTCCCCAGCATTGACTGACAAGCACTTCCTCTGGACAGACTATTGCACGTCCACAACCTGGGGCTACAATGTTGCTGCCAAGGTTGGCAGTCAGGGCCCCTGGATCTTGAAGATCTGTTTTCTCCCCAGATCAAAGCTCAGCCCTTGCCCTCCAGGGAGTGGGACAGAGCTGGTACTGACAGGGCCCTGGCCCTACCAACACAACTCATCTGTCCTATCCTGCTGCCTGTTGTAGCAGGAGAGTCCCTGGCTGGCTGTTGCGCATGCCAGGTGGGAAGGCCAGCAGGAGGTGCTGAGTGGCTCAGGAAAAGGCCTGCCTGGGCATGTGTATGTCCCCTCCACTGTCCCAGGACAAAGCTCAGAACAAGAACCCGAGGAAAGAGCAAGCGGGGTTGGCCTGTTGACCCCAGCCCTTTGGAGAAGCACATGATAAGGTGTAGGGCCTGTGGACACCCTGGTCAGTGTAGATCTAGTGAGTCCCAATGGTGAGGACATCACCTTGGACAAAACTGACCCCTACCTGGCATGTGCGGCCCAGGCCACCGTCACGATTAGAAATGTCATCAGGTAGACAGCAATCCTGGTGGCTAGAAGTTTCTGCATACTTCTGTCAAACTCCTGGAGTAAAAGAGCACTGTTATGAAAACACAGTGACTATATTCCTGGGTTACCCCTCTCCCTCCTCTAGCCCCCAGCCCCAGAGTCACTGCTGTACTGTGGGGCAGATGTCCATAGGCGCCAGCACACCACAGAGGTCAGTGTTCTGGAAGGCCTTCTGTTCCAGGCTCCTGGGAGGAACCAGGAACACAGATGAGCCATAAGTGAGCAGGCAGAGCAAAAGGGCAGGAAAGACAGAGGGGCAGTGGCCTAGCCACCCCTCAGAAGCTCGCTAATCCCCTACGCTATCACCCTGAGGTTTACATTCCAACACATAAATTTGGGACGAGGACACTGACAGCACAGCAGGGTCAGACCTGGCATTGTCCAGGAAAGTGGCCCACAAAAGCTTATGGGACTGCAGGTAGGGCCTCCTTAGCACAGTGCTCAGTCCTGGCTTTCAAGAAGGGTCCAACCCTGAAGCCTGTGGCTCCTAAACTCCTCGGCCCATGTGAATGTAGATTTGAGTCTGCCACAAACTTCAGCCATGAAGCTGCTCTTCAAGTGCTATTGTATTCTGAATTATGGACGTTCAGCATTGACTGGTTTGGTCCCCTCTACCCCTCTACCCTCTGGTTCTAAGGATTGAACCTGGGGCATCATATACACTAAGTAACCTACCATTCTGCTATGTCCCAACTCTTTTTAAGAAGACAAGTCTTCTTAAGTTGCCAGTCTGGTCTTGAGACCTATAATCCTCCTGCCTCAGCCTTCTGAGTAGATGGTGTTCGCCACCATGCCCAGCCTCTTCCTTAAGGACAGAGGGCTCAGGTATGAAGTGCTCTTCAGCATTGTCTGGGACTCCCTTAGGAGATAGCCAGGCTTCATCACTTTTCTCTGGATGTGTCCATGAACATCCAAAATTTTCCTGAGAACCAGTTAGGACTGAGAGCACCAAAAAGTCTCAGTCTCCAAGATAGTGCTAATGCAGAGGGTTCGCTGCCCAGCAAGCGAGTAGTGCTGGGGTGACATGATCTCACTTGGGCCTCTCACGGTCTCATGGCTGCACTCCGAGAACTCCGTTCTGAGCCTGTGGTGAGATGTGCACTTCGCTGCACTCCGGACCCTGCCCACCTCAGCTTTCCCAGGAGCCACGTCTCCCTCAGAGCCAGCTTCCCCAAACAACATGGACAGCTTGGGCTGCCATGGGCCCTGTGGCCAGCTGGACGTGCCCTGTGCAGGGCGTCCCAACTTCCCATTCAGCCTTGACCACAGCATAGCAACTCTACTGCTCTGTCACATGGTGCCTGGGTCATGTGGGGAAAAGCAAGGCACAGTGTACACCCAGGCGCCTTCCCACATGTGGAGCTCTCCAATTCAGCAAGCTGACCATGGACACAAGTGCTCTTATACATCCTTTTCCTCTTTCTGCCTGGGTGGCAAGCACAGATGCCACAGTGGCTAAGTACTTCTCTCAGCAGGAGTCTGTCCCCCCACCCTAGACCGAGAAGCCTACCCTGTTACCTGCCCTGGAGAGATCTCCGTATGTGTCACAGGCAAGATCTGCAGGAACAATGACAAAGGAAGACACATTTCTTGGCTAGGCGCCCTTGGGAGGCTGTGGTACTGGGGACTCAGGGCACATGCTGGGGGCTCCAACCCATCCGAGGGACTAGGGACTTGAGGGTCCTGGGAGAGCCAGGTAAACCGCGGCAGTGCCCACACTAACCATGACGGTGGCGATGATGGACAGCAGTGCATCGCTGAAGCCCAGCATGCGGTGGGAGCTCTGCGTTCCCTCCTTGGCATCCTCATCTCTCCTGCCCAAGCAGGAGTCTCCCTGAGCATCTGGTACTAGCTCCGTGTGCTGAGGTCCAGACATGGTGGGTTTGCTGTCCGGTGGTCACAGGAGCCTGGGGAGGCGCACAGCTCTGAGCATGGAGTGGGGTGCTACAAGAGGCCACCCCCCTGGGCTTCCATCACGAGGGTGGCAGCTGGGCATGGTGAGCAGTGAGGGATGCTTCTACAGGTAGTCCCTCCAGATTTTGTAGCCTCCAGGTTAAAAGCACTAGGCTCTATCGCGGAATTCTGTGACTGGGCAAGAGATGTGCTGTGTCTCACGTGCCCCTAAAGAAGCAAGCAGTAAAGCAAGGTGTGACACAGGTAGGTGCTCAACACACCATGTCACTGAGAAAGGGTTTCAAGTTTCTGGGTTCAATGACAGGCTCTGCCCCATAAGGTGTTTTTATCCCAGACAAGTGATGCTCTGGGGCCAGTGTGGAACCCCACAGTGAGGAGCACACACAGCAGACACCTGGTGGCTGCCCTGGCTCAAGGATCCTAGGTGGTTTTCATGCGAGGCACAGGCCTGGGAAGGCACAGTGGCTGGCTCAGCTGGGCCCTGGGCAGGAAGGACACCTATGTCTGGGCACAAAGAGCTGAATGCAGTCACAGTGGCTGGCAGGAGCCAGCTGTGTAGGGTTGAGCACCCTGCATCCCAACTGAATGGGTTAGAGCATGACAGAGGGTCCACTGGGCAGTGTGCTGAGCCCCATGTGCAGCCAGGGGAGGGGGACAAGAGTGTGGCAGGGCCACTGTTCCGAGGGGGAGCAGTCAGGTGGCAGTGGAGTGGATCTAGCAGCACAGAGCCAGAGCAGCCTGAGACATGGCTCCTGCAGGGTGGAGGAGGGTTGGGGGATCGGTGGAGCTTAGCCTAGAAATAGCCGGAAGGGCTCCTTCAGCCCTTCCTGATACAGGGGAGCCACCTGCAGACTGCTGAGGGCACAGGCTGGGGCAGGGGGAAACAGTACCTGCAGGGAGAGGTGAACGGGATATTGTAGCATGGTATAGGAGGTGGGGGCTTCCCAGGCAGAGGTCAAGGCCACAAAGTGCATGTGTCACTGAGGAGGGTAGAGAGCAGGACAGTGCACCCAGGGAGGGTGGCTTCCAGAGTGGTAGGGGCAACCACAGTACAACAGATGGTCAGTGGGGGCAACAGCAGAGCAGACAAGAACAGTGAACACCAGCCAAAAGGACGTCCCAGAAATCCTATCCCCAAAACAGTAAAGGTGGTTTCCAGCAATTTCCAGAGAGGAAAACAAACTGTGAACAAATATATAAGCTATCAGGTCTACGACTGCAGCTCAGTGGTAGAATATTAGCCTAGCAGGTATGGAGCCCCAGCATTACAAAAAAGAGAAAAAAAAAAAAGAGGACTCAACTTTGCCAGCAATCAGGAATATAAGCGAAACGAGAGATATACCAGTTAGACACCAAGAGTCTTGTCAGCAAGAGTGGGCCAGCATGAAGGGCAAGGGACACCTAAGGGACCTGGGACATTGGGAGTAGAGATGACTGGCAACAGCTCCAAGGTCATGGTGAGCACAGCCAGGGCAACACAGCTGTGCCTCAAGGTCTGTGAGGAAGCAGCCACTGTGTATGGGGTGAAAAGGATGAAACCAAAACACAGCTCCAGCACTGCTCCCCTGCAAAACAAAACCGAGTTAGTGCTGCTCAAACATGGAGAAATGGAAGCCTTTGGGTACTATGGGGTGGGTGGGTGGGAATGTACAATGACACAGTTGCTGTGGAAAGGTGGAAGGTGGATGCTCAGAAAATTTAAAAGGGGACTGAGGACGCTGCTCAGTGGCAGAGCATTTCTCTGGCATGCATGAGGCTCAATGCCCAGCACTCAAAAAAAAAAAAATTAAAACCAGAATGCCTTAAGATCCATCAATTCCACTACTGGGACTATATTAACAAGAACTGAGGCAAAGATCCCAAGAAGTATTCATTCTCCCATGCCCACAGTCACTTTATTCACAATGACCCAGAGGTGAGAGCAACCCAAGTACCACCTGTGGACAGGAGGCAAAGGCAGTGCTCACACCCATGTACAAGGGACCCTATGTACCACGACAGGGCTCTGAAACATAGGCAGCAGAGTGGACTGCAGCATCAGGCTGAAAAACGTGCTAGCTACAGAAAAACACCACGTGACCCCACTGCTGTGTGGTCTCTCCAGCTGCCAAATCCACAGATACAGAAACAGAATGGGGCCTCAGAGCTGGGGAGAGTGGGAGAGCCTGTGATGAGCTTTAGACTGAGGGCTGGAGTCTGGGCATGAATGGTGATGGGCAGCTGCATGGCAAAGTGAATGAGTTAATGCCACTGAACTATGCTCTTAAAAATGGGTAAATGGTAAATTCTATGTGTTTTTTATCATAAACAACATAACCTGATGCCTGGCACTTAAGTGTCCAAGACAAGTCAGCTACATATTCACATACAAGATTGCTAGTCACAACAATGAAGGGAAGGAGACAAGACTGAAGACAGAGGACATGGAGTGGAGGGATAACATCACCAAGCATGGGAGGGTTTCTAGTGCTGATGGAAATAAAAAGGAAAACCTGGAAATTTGTGAGAGGAGATGGGTGAGGCTTTAGATCCTGGGGCAGACATGCTGTATGTGAAGCCCATACCTAGACCTGAGCACAACACACACCCAGTGGTGTGCGGTACCAGACAGACATCTTGGGATGGAGCCAGGGACAGTCTGGAAAGGGAGATGCTGGGGCTGAGTCTGGAAACATTTCCTGCAGTGACGAGTAAGAGACATCTATAAGTGTGTCCTCAGCACTGTTCCTAGCAGTTTAGACTCAACATCTTAGTCTTCACACATGCTGCAGAATTAAGTGAAAGGTGAGAAGGAACTGTGTGTAGGCGTGTGTGTCACCAGGAGAGCCTGGTGTGTAGCAAAGTGCAGAGGGCTTGAGAAGGCCAAAGCACAGGGCTCAAGCTGGGAGGTACACCTGAGAAAGCCATGTCTATGTCACAAAACAGCCCGCACCCCTTGCTGAGTCTGGATGCACCCTACAGATCATGGACTCCACAATCTTTTCTTCATGAAGATTCCAGACGTTAAGTCTATTATCACACATGTGATTTGCAACTATGTTCTTCCACTCTGATGGGCTGTCTTCTTATTTCCTTAACAATTTTTGTTTTGTGGTGCTAGGGATTGAACCAAGCCCTTAAGCATGCAAGACAAAAGCTTCCCCACTGAGATATACTTCTAAACCTCAACAGTACATTTCTAAAGTATTAATGGATTATTTTAAAAGCAGTCTTAGGTTCAAAGGAAAAACTGAGCAGAAAGTGTAGTTTCTTAGCAGCCCTTTATATTGCCCTGAAGCCATTATGAACATCTTGCAGAGTGGTGACCCAGTGCTGATATATCACTACCAAATGACCCATGGAGTGGCATGGTTCAAGGCCTGGTTGGGCGGATGGGCAGATAGTTAATTAGTAGACTGGAAGGATGAAGTAGGGTCCAGAAGAGCGTGTGCTGACAGTTTTACTAAGACAAAGGCCAGGCGTGGCCTGTAATTTGAGCACTGTGGGGTGGGTAGGGCTGAGGCAGGAGGATCACTTGAGTTCTGGGCCAACTAGGGCTATAAAGTGAGCTCAAGGCTAGCCTGAACTGTAGAGCAAGACCTTGTTTCAAAAAGACAAAAAAAAAAAAAAAACAACATGTCAACATGTAACACATCTATGATCACTGGTAACATCTCAGGGCACAGGCACATCCCAAGGTCACGCCTCATAAGCATTCACGTACCTGTGCTCATCTGTTTCCACACCAGGCCCACAGCATCCCCAGTGCCTGGCCTACACCGGATGACACCAGAAAAGGGAGTGTTTTGTACAGACCTGCCTCCTTGGACACCTAACTCACACATGACTGCATCTCAGAGCCAATACTGACCTCCTTAAAGGACAAGGAAGGCTAACCCCTAAGAGAAATGCTGATAAACAGCCTCATCACCAGAGTGCCCCAACCCCAGGAGTCACTTCTGCATGCACAAATGGCTTGTGCTTGGGGCAGATGCAGTGGTGGCATTGCATCCCCACTGCCCAAAGGTGTCTCTTTTTATAAACTCTACAATAAACTCTACCCAGACTTGTGTATGGTCCATGTGTCTTGGCTGAGTTCTTTCATTAAGGGCACAAAGAAGTGAGGGGCTGGTTCCTCACTGTCTCAGGACCCAGCTTCCGGGTTTGTAGTGTACTCTGTGGGCTTTCAGAAGTGTAGGGTAGGCATCCATTAGTATACAGAGTAGCTTCCTAGCCTCAAAATGCTTTATGCCCCATCCAACCACCTTCCCTCTCCAGTCCCTGGTCTCCAGTTTGCCTTTCCAGGTGTTGTGTTGTGTAATTACACAGTACGCAGCTTTTCATTTAGCAACATATATTTAAGGTTTCCTGAGGTCCTTTTGTGTCTTGAGAGCTCACTGTCTTTTATCACTGAATATTGCATTTTAAGGACATTTCATAGTTTATCCATTTACCTTCTGAACATGCTGCCCCCTTTCAGTAGTATACTTTAAAGTTCTAATTATGTTTTTTTTGTCATTGTGAAACATGGTTTCACTATATAGTTCAGTGTAGCGTTGAACTCACTTTGTAGCCCACACTGGCCTTGAACTGGCAGCAATCCTCCAGTCTTAGCCTCCTTAGTGCTAGGATTATAGGTGTATACCACCATACCATACTTAAATTAATTCTCTTAGTAAAATCAGAGGTTGAATTTAAGGCCTTTGCACTGAACTACATCCCAAACTCTTTTTTAAAAAAGTTTTTTGAGATAGTCTCACTAAGTTGCCCAAACTGGGCTTCAACTTGTGATCCTTCTGCCTCAGTCTGAGTGCTGGACTGCAGCTGTGTACCAAGCTTGGCTAAATTTTATAACTTTGATGAAGCTCAGATGATCTCTTTTATTGGTGTATGATCTATCTCTTCAATTTACTGAGGGCAGTTTTTTTTTGTAGTATTCAATGTGTAAGTCTTGCTCATCTTTTTAAAAACTTTATTCCCAGTATTTTACTTATTGATGCTTTGTAAAAGATATTTTTCTATTTTCAATTTCCAGTTTGTTGCTAGTATACAACACAATTAATTTTTGTACATTTATCTTGTATCCTGCAATCTTGCAAAACTCATTAGCTCCAGTAGCTCATTTCTGTAGATTACATGGGACTTATTTATACAGAATACGTTTTCAACTGCCCCTAGAGGAGGCAGACACTAGGCAGTACCTGGAGACATCTGTGCTGCCATACATGGTGTGTGTGACTGGCATCTAGGGGGCAAAGGCCAGAGCTGTCAGACATCCCATAACTCACAAGGCAACACTTCCCACCAGTATGCGGGAATGACCTAGCCCAGCACGTCCAAGGCCGAAGTGCCCTGACACAACCATGTTATCTCAAATCAAAGTCATTTTCAACCCAGATGTTCTTTTTCTTGCCTCACTATGGTGGCTATAATTCCCAGTGCAATACAAATGGTCACACCAGACCACCTCGATTTGCTGCTAATCTTAGGAATAAAACACTGTCTTTCATGAATCTGCATGAAGGTAGCTATGTTTTTCATAGATACCCTTACCATATGGAGGAAATATAATTTTACCTCTAGTTCACTGTTTTGAACTCAGGAATGGATAGAAAGGATTTTTTTTTTTTTTTTTTTTTGTATCAGGAACTAAACTCAGGACCTTGAGCTTGTCTGGCAGGTGCTGTGCCACTGAGTTATATCCCCTGCTCATCAGATATATTTGATATCAAATGCTTTTTGAAATATCTTGAGGGCTCATTTTGTTTTTTGTTTCTTTTGACATGGAGTCTCACTTGTTAGCGTAGGCTGGCCTCAGCGATCCTCCTGCTTCAGCCTCGCAAGTGGTAGGATTACAGATGTGTACCACAACACCTGGCCTGATCCATTTTCTTTTTCATTCTTAATGGTGAATTATATTGGCAATTCTTCAAATACAAAGCCAACTTTGCATTCCTAGGACAAATCCCAACTGGTTATAACATGTTACCTTTTTTATGTACAAACAACATCTTTTATATCCAAAATGCTTGGAACCAGAACTGTTTTAGATCTGGGTTTTTAAAATTTTGAAATAACTGCATATACTTTATCAGCAGAGCAGTTAGCACTCAAAATTTTGGATTTTGGAGCATTCTGTATATTTGGATTAGGGATACTCAACCTGTAGTGTTGGATATCATCTGCTAAAGCATATTTTACAACTTTTGTTAACAATGCCGTTAGGAATGAGTTGGAAAAATATTTCCTTTAATTCCTGTGATTTTAAGTAGGACTGGCATTATTTTTTAAATGTTTGGTGGGATTCCCAGAGGAGAGGTTAAAATCTGGAGCCTTCAAGGGAAGATTTTTAACTATAAATTTAATGTTTAGTAGCTAGGAAGTTATTCAGGCTACCTATTTCTTCTTGAGCAGCTAAAGTAGTTAATGCATTCAATGGATTTGTTCATTTAGCCTTAGTTGTTGAATTTATTAACAGACTGTTATGGATTGGAAACTGGTGGTCAACTTAACACCAGCAGAATTAAGTCACCATGGTGCTGAGTGTAGATGTTCCACTTGAGGAAAGCTGCCAGCATAGAGATGTGGAGAAGGAGAAGAAAGGCGAGGCGTTGTGGGTTCTCTATATGTTGCTGTTTGAGCTGTTGATTCTTCCAGAGAAGCTCTGGTCCTTACATCGAGCATTGCTTCCTGGCTCCGGAGGGGAAGACATGTGCTGCTTCATCTCCAGGATGAACTCATCATGCTGGCTTCCTGGCATGTACTTGACTGTGTTATCATCAGAGGAGCTTGGGGCCTCCCTGTCACTGAGAATGGCTGTAGTGCTTTTCAGGATAGCCCTGGTCTTTGTTGTGAGTGTGACTTCTCAGCTCCACCATAGAACCCTCATCCCACCAGCACAGCTCCTTTACCCCACTGGCATAGACTTCTAGCTTCCACCGCTGATATTTGGGCCTTCCCAGCATGGATTTGAAAAAAGACTGGCAAGAGTTCTTCTTGTGGGCTCTAGACCTCCAGTTGGACTCATGGGAGGCATTGCTATGAGTTCTGGGTCTTCATCTGGACTCATGTGGGACATTGCTGTGGGATTCAGGCCCTTGGCTGAATAGTCTATGTCGTTGGTGTTGTGGATAGATTTCCTGCATTTTCTTGTGTTAATGCTGGGTGACCATCATAAAATATTATAAACTCCATGTCCTGATTTTAATTGTTCTCCTGCCAATCCGACTACAACACTGTCACTATAATATCCTATCTCCTTAGTAGTCTCAAGTTCTCATTCCCAATAGTGTTAATTTTTGTCTTTTCTACTTCTTATTCAATGTGGTCAGTCTTTTTTCAGCATTATTGATCATAAAGAATCAGCTTTGTTTCACTGGTTTTCTTTCATTTTTTCTATTTCAATGAATTGCACTATCATCACACTCCTTCTTACACTTACTTTAAGCTTCATTTGTTTCTAATTTTTTAAAACACTCATTACTGATGAGACCTGTTTTCTGATAATGTGCTAATAGCATCTCACAATTTTGAAATGTTGTATTTTTATTTTCATACAGTTCCAAATACTATCTTTCCTTTGATTTCTTCTTTGACCCACAGGGAATTTAAAAGTAAGCTCTCAACTACAAAATATTCAGAGGACTATTAATTTCTAATTTGGTTCACTGTGGTCAGTGAATATACTTGATAGTGCTGAGTATTATCTAGCTTAGGAAATGTTCTTAATGCTCTAAGGAAAAAAAGTGTGTATTCTGCTATCATTGTAGAACTGTTCTACAAACGTTCATAATTTCAAGTTCGTAGATGATGTTTGAGTCTACTATACGCTCAGTGATTTTTCTTAGGTGCCTTTTCTTATCATTTATTTGTTTTTTGAGTCAGGGTCTCCCTGTGTAGTTCAGGATGGCCTTGAACTCCTCATGTAGCCCAGCCTGACCTCTAACACTGAATGATCTTCCTGTTTCAGCCTTCCAAGTGCTGGGATCACGAGTGTGCACCACTATGCCTGGTTCTATCATTTACTGACAGAAGAATGTTCTCCAATTCTCTCAACCTCTAACTACAGTTGTGACTTGTTGATTTCTTCTAGCAGTTCTATTAGTTTTTTTGTGTATTGTATAACTTTTTTAAGTGTCTATCTAGGATTGGTATATTCTTTTGATCAATTATTATGAAATAAAAGTCTCTTAAACTTGGTGATATCCTTTGCCATGACATCTACTACAGGGAAATCAAGACCACATATTCAGTTTTAGATACATGTGTATGGGGACAGGGATTTAGCTCATCAGCATAAGCACCTTCCTGGCAAGCACAAATCGTGAATTTGATCCCTGGTACAAAAAAAAAAAAAAAGTGTGTGTGTGTATGTGAGGTATCTTAAGAGTTCAGGAAAGAAAAATGGAGACACATATTTTGGTTTAGATGGTCAGCAAAAGTGCTCTACAAATATTCATGAAAATGTCTGAGTAGAATCTGGCTTTCAAAGTAGTTTACAGCACTTAGAAACCTCAACTTGGTCCTAGGTCACGCAGTATGAATTTACAGCCTAAAACCATAATGCTTTCTAGTGAGTTATTTAGGTTTCTTGCAATAGCTGTTTTAAGTCTTTTCCAAATCACAGCATAAACCTTAGGGTTTCTACTTCCTGTCACTTTTAGAAGATGCCTTCTTTTCCTCATCAGAAACCAGAATTCCTTGTTTCATTCCAATAAACACAAAAAGTAACCTGCAACGGCAAGCCATTTTTCCTCCTTCTCTCTTATTCGAAAAAATCTTTTTCCTATATGCCCAAAGCCAACACCCTAACATGTACTCTGAATGCCCCTGTTCTGTAGCCTTCTCTTTGCGGGGTACTTTCCATCTTAGAATACATGGCCTTTCTCACACAGTTCCCTCGTTACTCTATGTACCATTTCTGTCTCACTAGCGCTTTGTTCCTCCACCGTGACCCACGGCTCAGATCAAACTGCTCTTGGTAAGCTGCCCACGAACTGGCTGTCTCTAGGTCCAACGTACATCTTCCCATCCCTTTTCTATTTGACTTTTAAGATAGCAGGCGTTAATCTGCCTCAAAAGGTATTTTTTTAAAGTTTGAAACCCTGAGATTAAGATGATGATGACTAGGCTTCCACTCTGCAGGCGCAGGGCTGTGTCTTACCTGCAGGGGGCAGCTTTGGGTGGCTGGTGGCACTCGGGACTCTGGATCCTATATTGCTAGATAGAACTTTGCAACACAAGCTAGAGAACTGGGCTTGTAACACTTTAAACCTTCAGCCTTTCAACAGCAGCAACGAATTCATTTTCACTCTCACCCTAGGTGGGCTAAGAAGCAAACACCGATGTGTGCAGGTTACCTAAGGGTCGTCTCTGGTGACTGGTGTCAGAAGCCCTCGGGCTGCTCAGGTCTCGCTTTAGCTCGGGGCATCAGCGCCAGCTGCGTCGTCTTCAGGCAGTCCGCAGGGCGGCTCCAGCCGAGGCGACAGTTAAACAACGCTGCGCGCCCAACGCCCCCGACGTCCACGCTACCGCGGCAGGCAGAACCTCGCGGAAGGGGACCGACAGCCAGACCAGCGGGCGCGTGTCTAGAGCGGGGCCCGGGGCCAGCCAGCTACGTTTGACACTGGCGGTCACCAGCGTTATTGCTAGCCTCCATACCGGTCTGCGCCGCCGCCAGCAGCAGACGGGAAGTAAGGAGCCTGCTCGCGCTGAGGAAACAAGCGGCGTATTTCCGGATCGCCGCGAAAGGGGCGGGGCCGAGGCGCAGCGCCGCAACGTGCTCGCGCTTCTACATCACGGCGCGGACGGAAGATGGCGGGGCTGTTCGCCGGCTGCCGCTGATCGGGCGGAGCGGAGTCGGACCCGCAACTCTGGCCCTGGCGCCGACCCGAGTCTGGCCCCCACTGCCTCCGAGCGGCCATCGCCATGTCACTGCTACAATCTGCGCTCGACTTCCTGGCGGGTCCTGGCTCCCTGAGCGGAGCTACCGGCCGCGACCAGAGCGACTTCGTGGGCCAGACTGTGGAGCTGGGCGAGCTGCGCCTGCGGGTGCGGCGAGTCTTGGCAGAGGGTGAGGCCCGCGCCGCGCGGGGGCGTCGTCAGGCCGCGAGGGGCAGGGTTAGCCCGGCTCGCCAGTGTCAGCGGAGGTTAGATCGGGTCAGGAGGTCATCACTGTATGTGTATGGGGGGTGTCAGGTCACTGTCAGCGGGAGTTAGATCGGGATTGGGTTCACCGCTGTCGGCAGGGCTCAGCGAGGGTTAGGTCATTGTCAGCAGAGCTGACATAGATCAGGGCTGGGAGGGTCATCACTTTGAGCGGGGGTCAGGTCAAGACTGGGAGGGTCTTCACTGTGAGTGTGGGTCAGGTCAGGGCTGGGAGGATCATTACTGTCAGTGTGGGTTAGGGTCAGGAAGGTCACCACGTCAGCAGGTGTCAGGTGAGGGTGAGAAGGGTCACCAATGCTAGGGAAGGAATCAGGTCAGGGCTGGGAAGGGTCTCCATGATGGGATCAGGGTAAGATCAGAGTAGGAAAGATTTCCACAGCCAGGGCATGGGTTAGGTTAGGGCATGATGTGTCACCATTGCTTATGGTGTGGGTCAGGTCAGGGCCTGGGGATTACGGGGAGAATATGAGTCAAGACCTCTGAGGGTGACTGCTGAGTGCGGGCTGGGTCTGTCCAACGCTGGGCACACAGTTGGAGGGACATAGGGCCCGAGTCAGTCTAAAGAGTCATGGTCCTGTCAGGAGACCTGGGTCTGCAGGCACCTCCACTGTCTGAAGTAGAGGCAGTGACAGTAGGCGGGAGGCCCAGATAACAGGCTCAAAAGGCATCAAGAGGTAAGCAGAGCTCTAGAGAAGGGCAAAAGCATGGCCCTTTGCATCACATCCAGGGATGTGCACCTGCGGGTTTTACTGGTCATTTGGATGTTGGGATTGGCTCTCCTGATTTCTGGGGTGCTCTTCAATCAGTGGCTGCACATGGTGCTGAGGCAGTGGAAATCCTGCTGTCCTAAGTGAGGGTAGAGGGTGGACAGTCTGGGTCCCCGAGTCCCAGTTTCTCTTCTTACAGCTCCTGGCTGTAATCTATGAAAGGGCTTGCAGGATAGAGGCTGTCAGTTTGGTGTCCTGAGGTGTCTTTTGTCAGATTTGTTCATGCTTCCTGAATGTCCTTCCCCACACAGATTGATTACTGGTGTGCATGGAGTTACCATCTTTAGGTTTTCCTTGCCTTTGTTCAACGATTCCCAGGACTATGTCAGGTCTCAACGCCTGTAAAGTTCCTGGGTGAAAAATACTTGTGTTCTGCAGCCTTGGTGTGGGGAGAAAGAGTGAGGCCCTGCTCAGTACTGCTAGCTCTTGGGGCTAGAGGATCTGGCACAACATTGTGATGCCCTTATTGTAGAAGACCTGAAGGGACATTCTGGCTGTAGCATTGTCTAACATTTCTCTACTTTGGAAGCAGATTTTTGGGCGTGATTTAGTGAGGTTTGGCCAGAAAGCGGGAGGGTTCTGTAAAGTAGGAAGCTTATGCAGGTCAGGCAGCAACCGGATGCCGAACAAGGAAGTGAGCTGTGGCAGTGCAGAGCACTTGTTTCCCTTTGCTCTCTAGGTGAGCCAGGAGAGAAAGAATAACCAGGGCAATTATGAGCCAGACTTCCTCCTTTGACTTAGTGGTTTGAAGCCTCCTTTTGAACTGAGACAGGGTAAGAAATCTGTAGTATTTTACGGAAACATTTAAACAAGCTTCTGTACACCTGAGGCAAATATGTTTACTGCCACTACCGTTTACTGCCACTTCCTTGTTCAGGAAAGAGAAGGGAGGGAGGATTTAGTACTGACTGACAAACAGAGTTTTCAGGAAGTCATGACCCAGAGAAGTGGGAGAGGCTCTCTTTGGGGCCAGGATTGCCTGTCTTGCGTGCCAACAAGCGTGCATTCAGATTGATTTGAAAAGCAAATTATTAGGTAGTCGCAGTGCACTGATGTTGTAGCACATACTACTTTCCAAGCATGCCTAAGAGTCCTGATCTTGAAAAATTTCCTCCATGTTTATCCTACAGTTTTATGGTTTTACACTTGTATATTTATATCCATAGCCAGCCGTCACTATATGATCAATATATGTTTAGCTTTTTAAGAAATTGTCAACATTTTCCAGAGTGGTTGTATCTGTTGACATTTCTATAAGGCGTGTATGTAGGTTTCAGTTGCTCTACCTCTAACAACACTTGATCTGATGAGTATAAAATTCTAGACATTCTGATAGGTGTTTAGAGTATCTTATATTCTAACTGTAGGTTTTTTGTTTGTTTGTTTGTACTGGGGATTGAACTCACACTTGTCAGGCATATGTTGTACTTTAAATTTGCATTTCTCAAAAAAATTTCCATTTCTCTAATGGTAATGATGAAATACCTTTCTATGTGCTTGACTACCCCTAGTGTATCCTTGTTGATGTGTCTGTGCTTTTTGCTCATTAAAAGGTTTGATATTATTGCATTTTTGGATTTATGTTTCCTGGGTAGAAGTCCTTTTTCAGATACGTGATTTGCAAACCTAATTAGTGGATCTTCTTATTCTCTGATTAGTGTATTCAAAACAGCAGATCTTTTTTTATATAGTTCTTTTATCTTTTTTTTAGATGGTGTTTCTGTGCTTACGTTTAAGAAATCTATACCTGATGGTATAGAAATAAAGTTGATTTTTGTATCTTGCTTTTATGCCCTACAACCTTCCTAAATTCACTTATTAGTTATAGTAGCTGTTCTTTGGAGATTTCACCAAATTTTCCATGCAGGAGATTATGTTACCTGAAAGTAAGAATGTTTTTGTTTCTTCTTGTGATCTGAATGCCTCTCATTTATTTTCTTCTAATTGCACTGAAGTATGATACCAAGTGACAAGGACATAGCCCTTCCTTGCCCCTGGTTTTTTTTTTTTTTTGGTACTGGGGATCGAACTCATGATGGTGCACTTGCAAGGCAGGCACTTATGCCACTAACCTAATCCCCAGCCCCTTTCCCCTGGTTTTTGAGGGAGGATTCAGTTTCACTGCTAGGTAGGATGCTCCTTTTATCCTTTATAGATACTCTCTACTCCAAATTTGGTGACAGTTTAAAATTTCACAATGTTATTCTCTACTGGGAGAATACTACAAAAAGTTTAGCAAAGGCTGGGCATGGTGGTTTATGCCTATGATCCCAGAGTTTGGGAGGCTGGGGAAGGAGGATCATGAATTGATGGCTATCCTAGACTATATAGTGAGATTCTGTCTCAAGAAAAATGTTTGGTGAGTTAAATCTTAAAACCATCTGATAAAAATCTCAGAAGAGCTACTGTTTTCAGAGTATTGGCTTTTGGTTTTGCTGATTTCCCCTACCTTGCCCCTTTTTACTGATTGACCTGAGGCTTGCTTTCCTATCATATCAGTGGCAGTGGTGGGTAAACTGAGTTACAGTTCTTCATGGGAAACAAATTCTTGTCTACAGCCACAAGGCTAGGTCTGTTTTATTTAGTAAAGGCATTTCTAAATTTAAATCATAGTATTGAACTGATACAGAATTTTATTTTCAGGAGGATTTGCTTTTGTGTATGAAGCTCAAGATCTGGGAAGTGGCAGAGAGTATGCATTAAAGGTAAAGAGAATAGCTGGTGTGTGTGTGTGTGTGTGTGTGTGTGTGTGTGTTGTTGGTTTATTTGTAGGCATCTGTGGAACTGTTTTCAGAGATGGGTCCTTATTACTCATTTTGTACCTGCTTTACAATTCATCTATCTGTCTTCTCTTGTCTCCACCTTGGGTTGGGGATGTCTTCTAGGTTTTCTAGCTGATGGGGTGGGGGCACTAGTCAACCTTGGAGGCAGGGTGAGAGTGATCTCACTGAGGGGTCACAGCTCCTTGGTTCCAGATGCCAGAATAAAGATCCAAGAATTGAGAAATTCAGAAGCCACTTGTGGAATTTGCACCCACAGAGCATGTGCAGATAGGGTCATGGTGGGCAAGAGGAGTCTCCATGACCTTGGTGCAGAGCAGGGCAGCTGTGATGTTTTCCTGAGGCACTACTGTAGGCCTAGCTGCTGAGAGCTGGGTGGTCCCCACTAGTGGATTCCAAAGGGCCTGGATTTGGCTGTCCTTGGCTAGTACCAGTGTCTGCCTGTTGGATCCTCTTGCTTTCCCTGTCTGTCTTGTTTTACTCTGGCTCCTATTTCTATTTGCTCTTGTGTTCTTGCCTTTTAAGGGTTACTCGAGGATTTTTTTTTTAAGGATCTTTAAACTTCTGTCTTGGATACTTTTCTCTGGTTGCTAGGACAAAATACCCAACACCCAAAATTAAGGAAGGAGAAGGTTTTATTTTTGGTACCAGAGATTGAACTCATGACCTGGTGCTTGCCAGGCAGGCACTTCTACTGCTGAGCCAAACCCACAGCTACAGGAAGGAGAGGTTTATTTAGCTCACGGTTTGTGGAAGTTTCAGTCTGTAATGAGCTGGCTTCTAAGCAGGATGCATGGCACAGGAATAACACTTCAAGGTGGGGGAAGACAGTAAAAGCAGTAAAAACAAAATGCAGGGAGCAAGCTTCTCCTCCCTTATATTTTAAGTAGGCTATGCCCTGAGGTGAGTGTAGCACTCACACCATCTGGCACAGACTGAGGATATTTACAAAGCAAAGACCTTAGCTCCCTGCTGAGTCCCGTAGTTAAACTTCTAAACTATTCAAGTTGACAGAATGTATCAACCATTACAGTTAATCAGGATCTAGAGAGAAAGACATGCTTATTATCATTTTACAACTTGAACATTATAACACAAGTTTAACAATCCTTTTGTTTTTTTTTTTTTTTTTTTTGGTACTAGGGATTGAATTAATGACTTTGTGCTTGTCAGCAAGGTGCTTGCACGAGGAAGCTAAATCCCAGCTAAGGTTTAACAATCCTTAACAACCAGTATTAAATCTGTCAACATTATATTACATTAATATTCTGCCCCTGGCCCCTCAAAGATTAATACACATCCCTTTATGCAAAAAGCATTTAGTGCACTTGCAAGAGTTGCCAAAGACCTAATAGTTTTAATATTGCTGAAAAGCCCAAGTTCCAAGTCTCCTTTGAGATTTAAGGCAAACTCTTAGCTGCAAGCCACTGTATAAATGAAAACAAAGTTAAATACTCTAACATTCAATGGAACAAGATAAACATTTTCATTCCAAAAGTTACAAATGGGGATACAAAGGATTGGGACTAAAGCAAGTCCAAAATCCAGCAGGCCAAACATTAATTCCTGTAGTTCCATGTCCAGCATCTGAAGTAATCTGTGGCACATTGTGAGCTCCAAAAGGCCTTGCATGGCTCTACCCCAATGCACTTCTGGTAGTTGTAGCTCTCATAGCTTCTCTCTTTAGGCCTGCTTTGCTACCTCCTTGCAGCTTAGATGATCCATGTTCTTGGCTTTTCCAAATGTCTGGAGTCTCCACTGCACACACTTACAACTTCACACACTGCCTGGCCTCCCAGAATTTTTTTCCATACCAGGGATTGAACTCACAACCTGGTGCATGCCAGGCAGGTGTTTGTGTCTCTGAGCTAAATCCCCAGCCCCCTCCTAAAACTCCTGCTTCTTTATATACCTAAAACCAGTACCATGTGGATGATGCCAAGGTCTGCTGCCAGCAGGAGCAGTAACCAGGCTTTCTTCTCTCTTGGCTGTAGGGATCAAGTGCCTGGATCACTGGGCACTCTGACTCCAATTCTGAGGAACAAATTTTCTACACTGTTGTCATTCTGGAACATGGTGCTCCACGACCTTCTCCTCAAAGCAAAGTCTTTCACTTTTGCAGTTTTGAGGCTGCAAAGGGTGGAGATTTATTGCTTTTTTTCATGTCTTCAGACCATCTTTTCTGTGCTGTTTCTTCTCAGCAATCAAGATTTCCTCAGCTCTATCTTGCAATCCACCGCTTTATTGGCGCTTCCTTTCTGGCTGGACTCACAATGTTTTAAATCATCCTGTTGGGCTCTTTGCTCTTGATTTGCAACATAAATATGGCTAAAAGCCTACAACAGTTGCGGTACCACATTCTCAACATTTGATTGCCTTGAAATTTCTTCTGCAAGATTAATTAGTCCACTACCTTTAATCTCAGACTCAGGTAAAGTCTCTGGATACCAGCAAAATACAGACTAAACTTTTTGCCAAGCCATAACACACATTGTCAGGAGTCGAATAACCAATACAGTCCTTCCCAGCAGAAACTTGAGCTTGGTCTTTACTAGCAGGATTTCCATGAGCCTTTAGATCTGAGCTCTGACCAGAATCCCCCATACAAAAAGCCTAAGGCATTCCAAAACTACTCTTTTAGGTGACATCTCTGAACTTTTCCAAACTCTTCCCGCAAGCTATTCTCAAAGGCTCTTGAACTGAGAGGTGAGGTACAGTCACAGAAATGACTCCACTTCGCTAGTACCAAATTCTATCTTGGTTACTTTTCTCTCATTGTTGAGACAGAATACCCAACACTCAAAATTAAGGAAGGAAAGGTTTGTTTAGCTCAGAGTTTGTGGATGTTTCAATCTATAATCAGCTGACTCCAAGGAAAGGTGGCATGGTAGAGGGGTAATACTTTAAGGTAGCAAAAGACAGCAAAAGCAGCAAGAGCAAAAAAAAGGGAACAGGCAGCTTTTTGATTCCCTTATATTGTAAGCAGGCTGCCCTTCCAGGGCAGGTGTAGCACTTACCATCTCCAACCCCTCCTTTTGCACAGGATGAGGATATTTACAAAGTAAGAATTATGGTCCTTGCTGAGTCGCTTAAACTTCTAAACTTTTCAAATTGATACAGTGTGTTAACCATTATAGCTTCAATCAAGTCAAATATTAAAATGCAGCTAAACAGGTTGTGGGCTGTCAGATGCTGTGCCTTTTCTGGAATATTTGTCTAAGATAATCCATAATGTAAAGTGCAAGGTAAATGATCTTCAACCTTCCTCATGTGCTATTCCCCAACAGCGATTACTGTCCAATGAAGAGGAAAAGAACAGAGCCATCATTCAAGAAGTTTGCTTCTTGGTATCCTTTTCCTGGGCCTGAGGTCTGGTGCCATCACTTAGGGAAGCACTGACCTGTGTCAGGTTGTGACCATCAGCCACCAGAACCGGCTTTGTGTCATTCTGCAAGATATGTTAAAATTGGCCTTTTCCCTTTACTGGGTTTCTTACAGATTATTTCCAGTGAAAAGTAGTTTTTTCCCTGCTTTTTACTCCCTAGGTCATAGTAAAAGATTCAAAGATTCGGGATGAGGGGTTGCGGTTCTTACTCAGAGATCTCCTTGCCTGGTAGTGCTCCCCCATCTGGCTGAAGGCCTAGGTGAGGGCTGTGTGGACAGCCATGGTGCCAGCAGGCTTCCATGTGGCCTCCTGCTCAGTGCCTGCCACACACAGATGATGGGTATGTAGGCTTTTCTTGTTCTCTGCTGCCATGCATGTCCTCTAGGACTTGGGCCTCACATTGCTGCTGGATGGATCTGCTTCTTTCTTCAAACTTTGCCTGCTCAGAGAACAGGGTGGCTACCCAGCCGTGGAAAGCATGGACATGGTAACACTCATGGCCTCCCTACTGTGGCACCCTAGAGCCTCTGCCTGCCTGCATCGCTCTCTCTACTGCTTTCTCATGCATGCTTGGCTTCTCATGACCCCATGTGGCCATCTTCATCTTTCTGTGCAGCCGGGATGTAAGGTAATTCGAGTATCATAACTGAGCTCTCAGTGCTTTATATGTTTTAAGTGTACAGAATTGAGGACATGTTCGTATGTGTTCTCCTTTAACAAGATATCTGCAGAAAAAACTCTCTGGCCACCCCAACATCGTCCAGTTCTGCTCTGCAGCATCCATAGGAAAAGAGGAATCTGACACGGGGCAGGCAGAGTTCCTGCTGCTCACAGAGCTCTGCAGAGGTAAAGTCCCTCTGGGGCCCAAGGAGACTGCTTGTCGACATGTTTCTAGGGTCCTGTCAGATGGCACTGGTCTTAGCAGAAGGGACAGGACAGGCATCTGGTGATCTCAGTCATCTGGAAGGCTTAGCTGGTCCCTCTCTGGGTTGTAGGCTCTGAGGAGCAGGGTCATTCATGTCTTCTCAGTGACAGAATGGGCTGGCACACAGGAGGCATTCAGTGAGCTTGTAGGAAGGGAGAGCAACACAGTCACATTCCTTGTGGCTGCATTATGCCTTGGCAAAGAAAGGGGCCTTCGGAGGGGAGGTGACTTCCTTGAGGTCAAACACAAGAAGGCGTCAGGACAGGGAGAGACCAGAAAGTTGGTAAAACCCTTGTGGAGTGCTGTTGGGCCAAAGTGGTTGCCTGGGTGATGGTGAGCTGCTGAGTCCTGGCTCTGGCTGCGCAGTGGGGAAAGGAGTCTGGGGGTGGTGGCTCCTCCACCGAGCAACTCAGCTGCAGAGCATCTGCTGGGAGCCAAGTGTCTGCTGGGTTCAAGCTCTGTTTCAGGCCTTGTTGTCCTGTGAGGGAGCTCTTCTCTAGGGCTGTGGCACAGTGGCTCTTTGATGTCTGTTTCCTGGGCAGTGAATATAGGCAGAAGAGGCCCAGAGGAGCAATGAGGGAGACTGAGTCAGGGAGCCCATAAAAGCAACCCAACTGTGTGAGAGCTGCCGCCCACAGGGCATAAGACAAGCTGTTATGGTAGTCAGCATGGGTAATGGCGACTAGTGGAAGACAGAGGATGCTAGGGCAGCTGGGATGACAGGTGGAAATGGTGGGGTCAGCTTAGCTGAAGGGAAAGGCGTAGAGGTGCCCACGGGGCTGGGGTTTTGCTGAGTGGAAGGAGGCAGCACGGTCTGTGCAGGGCTGGAACCTTTACTGGCACCGGCAGAAAGCAGGGGGAACAGACTGAGGGGATTCTCTGGCCCTGTCAGGGAAGGCTCTGCCCAGCTGTGCCCTCACTTGTGCTTCCTGGACCCCTTGCTCACCAATGACTAGATGGCCGTGGTCCCTGTGGCATCTGCTATGCATGGTCAGGAGTTCACTGCTGTGGCTGGGACTGTGGTACCTTAACTCTGCACAGTCACCCTTGCATGGATTTTTTTTTCCCTCCTCAACTTTTTATTTTGAAGTTTCAAACCAACAAAGAACTTGGAAGAGGCACAGTGGACACACCAGATTTTCCTTTGTATCACCAGATGTCAGTCATGTTACCAGCTTCCATGTTCTTGCTGAACCGTTTAAAGAGAAATTGCAGATAGCAAGTCTCAAAATCCTTTTTCTCATGTGTAGCCTGACTGCAGTCCCAGATCTGTCCCTAAGGAAATCTATGTGATGTAACAGCATGGCAGCCTGTTCTGCTGTCTTCAGCTGTCCTCCGTATTTTGGTCATGCTGCCCCAGCCCCACACAGCGCCACATAGTTCCTGTGCTGTGGTTAGTTGTGAGGCCACCTGTGTCCTTTCTGCTCTGAGTGGTATTTCTGCCAGCTACTCTGTTGGCAGTGCATGATGTCTGGGAACTGGTTTTGAGATCCTGGGCTGCCCCCACAGTTGGGAAAGATGCGAGCCTTGGTGGTATAGACATCTGCACTCAGCCTTCACCTGGAGCCTTCCCATTCTTAGGTGTCAGTTGCTACTTTGATATTCAGTTACAGAAGAACATGTGCCAAATAAAAAAACAGGCAATGTAGAGTTGAATAGATGCTTACATACCTAGGGCTTGTTTTTTGAGTTTTTATTTTGGTTTAGGTTCTGCTTGAGACTAGGTCTCATTGTGGAACCAGGCTACCCTTTAACTAGCTATGTAGCTCACGTTAGCCACTAACTTGCAGTCTTCCTGCTTCAGTCTCCCAGGTAGCTAGAATTAAAAGCTTGTACCACTATACCTGTCTAGGAGTTTACTACATGTGCTTACTTTTAAACATTCCTTTTAAAATCACATATCTTTTCATGCCAATGAAGTGTGCCCCTTACCCTTGAGGACTTTTTCCCAGACCAGCAATGGGTGCCTGAACCAAGGGACAGATCAGAGCCTCTGACAGCTGCAGCATGACTGTGACAGTTGCTCTGATAACCAGGATGGCTACTGACCCAGTGAGAATGGGCTGGGCCTTGGGCTACCCCCAACAGGGACCGAGTGTGGCAATGTGAGATTCTATCACACCACTTGGGATGCCACAACATAAACCCTGTGAATTGTCTGTGTCTGGAGTATTCTATTTTATGTCTTTGATCATGGTAACTGAAGCCTTGGAGGGTGGGCTGTGGGTGAGGGGTAGCTTCCTGCTCACCTCACCATGCTTAGAGGCGGGGGTTCCTGAGGCTGAGACAGTGCTGGTAACTCATAGGTTCAGTGTGAGAGCTGGTGAAGCTGGTTGAGTCCTGTACTGTGTGGTGGACCAGATGGCAGTCAGGGCATGACTCTGCCACCCCGCACACTTGGACTATGCTGGTTGAGGCTGGGGTGGGGGTGGGGGCCCTACAATATCATTTTCCCAGGTGCTGTTTAAAATGGACCCTACCCCCATCATTTGGGAAAGTTAGAAGTCTTTGCATGAGTAGGTTCTGGAGATCCTAGTCCTGGAGGATTAGAGTGGAGCTGTTGAAAACAAAGGTATACTGCTGTGGTACCCACAAGTGGAGCAGTGAAGAAGTTGGAGGGTCTGGGCTCAATTGTTGTCCCTAGCTGCCTCTGTGGGGAACGAAGGGTCCAACTCCACTGCCCAGTTCCACACTCCAAGGGAGGCCATGCTTCCTCTCATGGTGACTCAGAGTCCTTATGAAGTGCAGTGCCTGAAGGGCATGACACCTCATGAGACTGCCCTGTGGGGCCAGAATGGGGGTGCAGAACACTGGAGATTGGAGGACTCGGGGAGCACTGTGCAGCAGCAAGTCAGGCTGAGGAGGTTTCCAGGCCAGACTCCCGAAGCTGAGCTGAGTGACTGCTGTGTGTCCTCCACTGCATGGGGGCCTGAGGGGAAGGGAGGGCTCTTTGGCCATTCCTACTGTCACAGGTGGAGTTTTTCTTTCTGTGGTTTGTAGAATGGGACTGGAACTCAGGGCAAGTGCTCTGCCATTGAGCTATATGCCCCCAGCACTAGAATTTTTATTTTTAAAAATAATCCCTTAATTCTCCCTAAGAATGAGCCACTGAGCACAACACTGCCCCTGCTCTGGCCTCTAGGCCTGGCCCTCCTTCCCTGGGCCCAGCCAACTCTTCCCGTTCCTCCCGAAGCCTCAGTCCCTTAGGGTTGTTGCAGACACTGTGGAGCAGATTGGCTTGGGGGTGGGGGTTTCAGTCCACCCAAGGTTGGTAGCCAGGGTAGCCTGGCCAGCAGAGCCTAAGATCATTCCAGGCTGGGAGCTGGGAGGGCATCCAGATTTGGTCTGGAATCCCTGCTGTGGGCATGTTCCTGAAGCTCCAGGTTGAAAGTTGCATTAGAAGTCCTTGCTCTGAGCTGCAGGAGGCCAGACACATATGAGCCTATGTTCCCTTTCTAGAAGTTGCAGGGGCCTGGAGGTTACCAAGGCTGCCCTTGGAGCGCTAGCATCTTACTCTGGTACACCTTGAAGCTGCTGCTGGCCCTGCTGTGTGCAGGCCCCAGGGTCCCTGTGCTGTCCAGGTGAAGCTGACAAGCTTGGAAGCCTGAGCTGCGGCAGAGAAAGGGGTGCACATTCAGATGAGGTGGGCAGTGAAGCCCCCGAAAGAGGTGTGAGGTGTGAGGACAGCACAGTTGGGAGCAGGGAGGAGATGTAGTCACTAGAGCGGTGGCCCTGATTTGTTGGCTGGCGCTGTGGTGTGGCCTAGCCTTGGAGCTGAGTGGGACCTGGATTGTGGGCAGGGGATGCCTGGGGGCTGTTCTGTGGAGAGTAGGTGCTGGGGCCCAGAATCAAGGCTAGGAGAGGTGTAGGTCGAAGAGGCCCCAGGCAACACCATGCTTTGGGCTACAGGCAGAACTGAAACCTATGGTGGAGTGGGGTGGCTGGAGAACATGTGGGCCTGCACAGGGCACCAGCAGTATCCTAGCCGTGATGCCTAGATTCTCATATCTAGTCCCAGTGGAGCTGGTGATCCCTTGAGAGCAACTGGGTGGTGTCAAGCCCAGTGCAGGTTTGGTGTTGTGTGCACAGTCTCGGAGGCGCTGTGGTAGTACTGGTGAATATCGTCTGTACCTAAGGAAGGGCAGTAACCTTTGCACAGACACATTGAGAATTCATGTTTGTCATCATCACTGCAGGTGGTCTGTAATCACTCTCTGTGGCCCTGTGAAGCATGCAAGTCCTTGATCTTTCTCTGCCCAACTAACAACTAGGATGTGTTTTTTTCACTTGGGCCTCCATTCAGTGGCCTCGCTTTTTGTGCTGCTCCATGCCTGCTGCCCCTGAGGCGTCCCACACCTGGGGCTGCAGTGATACCTGGTGTCCACAAACCTCCTGCAGCAGTGGAGAAATGGCAAACAGCACTGGCTATGCAGGCTGACTGGTCAGGTGCCAACTGTGGCTTCAGATGAGCCAGTGAATACGAGGTGCTGCACCAGGCAGACCCAGAACCCACCCCTGGCCTGGAGGGCATGACATTTTTTGGGTCCAGAGTGATTGAATTGAATTGTCTCTTTTAGGGCAGCTGGTAGAATTTCTAAAGAAAATTGAAGCTAAAGGCCCTCTGCCCTGTGACACCGTCCTGAAGATCTTCTACCAGACATGCAAAGCTGTGCAGCATATGCACAGGCAGAAGCCGCCCATCATCCACAGAGACCTCAAGGTGCCAGCTATGGGCACAGGTGCCCTCACGTCATTTCATGCTCTGGATCCCCCAGGCCGAGGCCTTGTGAGCGCCTCCGTCCGCTGGGCTCAGGCACTGTTCCCACTCTTGCTTTCCTCCTACCACGGTGGCATGGCATCCTAGGGCATGTGCATGAGCCACCTTGTGTCCTCAGGGTTGCTGCGGCCCTGCCACCTGTTCTCTGTCCTGCAGGGTCTCTGTCCTTGGAGTTGACCTCCAGTATAATGAGGTGGGGTAACAGACCTGCATGTTGTGAGTTCACCTTTTCCTGATTGTTAACAGTGAATATTTTTGGGTTTTTAGTCATCAGTGTCTTACTCTTTAGTTGGCTTCCCTTTAGTTTTTACTTTTTTTTGTGGGCCCTACAAGTTTGATTCTGTGTAGCTCTGTGTATGTCCTTGTTGGGGGCTTCCTAAGGCTATGTGTACTATGGGAATTTTTTGCTATGTCCTGGTCTTTACTTTGCTGTTGTCTTGTCAACTCCAGACTTCAGAGAATCACCCAGTATCCACCAAGCTTGTCTTTGACCTGACTTCTTACCAAGGCAGATTTTTTTGTGTTGAAAGCTTTTTAAGCTGTTTTATTCAGAGACTCCTGTGTGCTCATCTCTGGGACCTGGAATGTTTTTTACATCATTGTAGCACTCAGGCCAGCAAAGCAGACATAATCCTGGGGGATCAGCTCATGAATGTGTGGTTGGACAATGCACCCCTGCCAGGCCTTCAAAGAAGGTCTATAGGCCTCTAAGTTCCTCTCAGTGCTCAGTCCACTTTGACTGCCTCAGGTATTATACTCACCTGGGACTGACGGTGTGACTCAGTAGGGGCAGCATCTGTCTCTCCACCAGAATGCCCCCCCTCGCCTGGCTTCCAGAGCCACAGCTGCCTCAACTCAGGTGGGTTCTGCCCAGGAGCTGGTTGTTTGCCTACTCCCCCAGGTTTCTGGCCTTCATGTGCCTGTGAGATTCCAGGGCATGGGGTTTCACCTCAAGTGTCACATGGTATTGGTCTCAGTGCTTCACTGGTCCCCCATTTCACTGTGCTTTCACTTCCCCTGGCCCAGGGTCAGGAAGCAGTTTTCCATGGTACATACCTGGTTGGGGTAGGTTTTGTCCTCTGTGATTTTGACTGGGCATTCTACGTGTGAGTCTTCTCGTAGAACTCAGATACCATGGTGAGCCTGACTCCCTTGATTGGACTCCCAAACTCAGAAACATTTGGAAAACTGGTTCTGAGGTGATGAGGTGACTGGTGGCCAGATGCCTCCCTGCTCTGCAGACAGTTGTCTGCCTGTTCTGGGATCCTTCAGGATTCTCCTCTTCCTCCTTACCTTCCTACCTCTCTCCTTCCTCTTTGCTCTTTTGTTCCATAATTCCTTACTCATTTCTTTTTGAACTTTGTGCAAACAGGCTTATCTTCTGAGGTTCCAGAAGCACATTGCCAGGCTCACTATGTGGTGAGCCAGGGTTCTTGGGCCCTGTAGTGCATCTGTCTTAGTTCTGCCTTTGGCCCCAGGGCTTCTGTGGATGCTGAGGGTTTTATTAGGGCATCAGAGTCTTTGCCTGTACTGTGACAGGGGTTAATATGGTATATGTGTGCTTGCCTGTGTTTTCTTAAGGAGAGCAAAGAACAGGATAGGGTGAATGAAAAGTCTGAATGTGAGCTTGCCCTGCTGTGGACTGTTTGTCCTCCAGTGCAGAGGGTGCAAGGCCCTCTCCAGCCTACTCTGCTTCGCCCTATGGCTGTGGTGTAAAGAGCATGTGCCCATCTGGCTGGTCGTGGTCTTGTAGCCTCAGGGTCCTGCGGCAATTGCCTTGCCCGTGAGGCTGCATCTTCCCATCATAGGACTTGGGTTTCCTTCAGGTGCCTGTTTTTCTTTTGTTCTTTCCCTGTGGTTTTCAGGCACTTGGGGCAGGGGTTCCCCTCTATGACTGCCCTGCTGCTATCTGGGGTGCCTTGGTGATGCATGTCACTTGAGGGCTGTAGGCATCTTCGGGATGCCAGGACATCATTCCTTCTTGCTACCTCTGTGGACTTGTGTCCTCCTTTTGGGCCAGACCCTCCAACTCCACTCCACTTCAACCCACATCTCCACAGGGCATCTTGCGGTGAGTGTGGTGCATCCTTGGGCCAGTGTCTGTGCTGTGACTAAAGCCTTGCACAGGGACTTTTCTGCTCCTGTTGGCTCTTTTGGTCTCAATCATGAATCAGTTTTGTAAAGTTGCACCAGACTTCTGCGAGTTGATTAGCATTGTTGGAATTCTGTAGCATGGTTGATAGACTTCTGTGAGGAGCCATTAGGGCTGTGGCACTGCTGGCTACAGGGTTTGGGTCCAGCACCCTTCTCTGGGGAGCACATCCTCCAGGACAGTCGCCTAAGGAGTGGGCATGCTAAACTGTGAATCTGTGGACCAAAATCCATGTAGTTTCACATGTCTGAAATGCTAATCTTCCTGTGAGCCCTTCCCCCAGGCATTTAAAAAATATGAACTGTTCCTGGATTGGAGATCCTGGCCAGAGTTGGCTTGTACAGGGGCCACTACTGGGGCCACTGGGTCAGTGTGACATCTTAATGACATTGTACCTCTTAGTGGCTTTGTGGTACTGTGTTGGAAGCTTGGCATTTCCCTTTGTGCTTTTCATTTAAATTTCATCTCAGTTGTTTTATGGTTTTCCATGAGGGAGATATTTTGTCTGTTATTAAGTTTGTTCTTGGGTTGTATTTAATTTAATTACAAGTGACTTATTATATTCTTTTGTCTTTTGTGTTTTCTGAGGGCTTGTTGTATCCTGTGATTAATTGGGATTATCTGTTTGATTTATAGTGATTTTAACTTTTTTGTTTTTCTGAATTGTGGGTATATTGCTTCTGATCAGAAAGAATTTAAGATAAGGCAAGACATTGTGTACACCCATAGTCCCAGCATTTGGGAGGCTGAGGCAAGAGGATCACCATGAGTTTAAGGAGGATCACCATGAGTTTAAGGCATACCCAACATAGGGATACCCTATCTCAAAAGAAGAGTATAAAGTGAGGCATAGTTCCCTTGAAGAAAAGCCTTGCTGACCTCCAGGAGACCCTTCATCCCTAGCTCTGCCTAGGAGTGTGTGTGTGTGCTGCATTGCTGCTGCTGGTGTGGAATTGGCTGCCTCTCTGCAGTGGGGGGGGGGGGATAGGGTCCGTGGGAGCTGTGGCCAGCATCACCTGCCTGGTGGGACTGTCTGCTAGTCCCATCTGATGCACCTGTTACTTTTGCTGAGCTATGACACCTATGGCTGTCTCCTGGTGTCTTGCAGGTTGAGAACTTGTTACTCAGCAGCCAGGGGACCATTAAGCTGTGTGATTTTGGCAGTGCTACCACCATCTCCCACTACCCCGACTATAGCTGGAGTGCCCAGAAGCGAGCCATGGTGGAGGAGGAGGTGAGACCTGGTGGTGGCGCTGTGGGCTGAGGAGGCCACTCTGGGCCACTATGGGCCCCTTTCCTCTCCTTTTGGCTCTTGTAACCTTTGGGTGCAACTCTGTCTCCCCAAGGACCAGGATGTGGAGATTGCCAGTGCCAGGCTCCAGGGCCCTCAATGTGCTCTCATGGCTGTTGGCAGCTGAGTGGGATGTTTCAGCTCATTCTCATGTCAAGAGGCTCTGACCCTTGTTCTCTGGGGTTTTTAAAATTATTGTAAAACACGTATAGCATGAAATTTACTGCCGCAGTCATCCTGAATGCACGGCTCAGTGGCAATCAGTACACTCAACATCACTGCCACTTACCTGCAGAGCTCCTCTGTTACCCACACAAACATCTTTAAAGTATAGTTTAGAAACCACTTGCATGGCTTATTTCTGCCTGGAGAACCCCCTCCAGCCGGGCTGTCCCTACTTCAGTCCAGGGGCCGAGGCTCTTCTGGGGCCTCGTGGGAGGATCAAGAGCTGCTGTGGATCACTGCAAGACTAAAAACACTGCTTGCCTGTAGCTTTTCTGTGAAATAGTCATCTTTTTTTTTTTTTTTTTTTCCTTCAGATCACAAGGAACACCACACCTATGTACAGGACACCAGAGATTGTAGACCTGTATTCCAACTTCCCCATTGGTGAGAAGCAGGATATCTGGGTGAGCTAAAACACTGCCCTGCTGGTTCTGGACCGATGTCCTGGTCAGAGCCGTTTGCCTCTTCAGCCCCCCCATTCCTTCGCTGTCCTTGCTCTTTATCTTGTGAAGACTCACTTGAGTGCTAGTGGGATGACTAGGACCAAGCCAGCTGGTATTGCTGTGACTTTGCCTGCTGATGCTGCCCAGAGGTATCCTGCCCTTCAGGAACGTGTCCCATAGGCCAAGGGCAGCTCTCCATTCCCACTGGCAGTGGCCAGCCAGCTCCATGGCAATGCCTGAAGGGCTTGCATGGGGTAAAATAGTGTGACCCTGTCCAACTGAGATAGTGGCAACCCCTTGAGGCACAGCTTAGCCCCTTCCCCTGCCAGCCAAGAGCCTCTGGTTGTCTTGTTGGTCTTTGATTAACTGGCTTCCCTCAGACCCCTCTCTGGCTTTGCTCACTGTGCTAGAGTGGCTTATGGACCCCATGGACATGTTGACACTTAACCTACTGGCTTGTTGTAGAATGTATCCCTGAAGATGCAAGGAGAGGCCCAGGGTGGGTAATGGATCCCCAGCGTGCAGATCCATCTGTTTCACTGCATGGGAGCTCCCTGCACCCTACCAGGGCCAGGCCTAACTCCCTGGCATGTGTCTGTGTTGGGTCTGAGTTGAGTCTGCTGTGCTAGGGTGGGGAGAACCCTATGCATTGGTGTGTCAGCTTGTTACATCTTGGCCCCAGCTTGTCACCTCTTGGCCCCCCAGCAAGTGGCTTGTGACAAGTTACTCTCAGCACAGGTCTGGGCATGAGGACACAGCTGACATGATTCATCTGGTCCCCACTGTGATGCTCCTAGAGCTGGATGGGGCTGAAAACAACCTTTTGATCTGAAAATAAGGGTTTGGAACTTTGCCTCTATAGTCCAGAGAGATCATTTTTCTGGATGAGCATGGAAGGACTGAGGCTTCTGGTGTGGGTCACCTTGCCAACCTGCTCAGCCAGCATTCATGAGCTGAAAAAGGGATGACTTGTAAAACCATTGAGACTTTGGCAGGTGCTCTCCAGGATTCCCAAGGATGGGGCTGCCCCGTGCCTGGCTTTCAGCTTGTGCACTGGAGTCCAAGGCTAAGCTCCTGCTCTCCCACAGGCCCTGGGCTGCATCCTGTACCTGCTGTGTTTCCGGCAGCATCCTTTTGAGGATGGTGCAAAACTGCGAATTGTCAATGGGAAGTACTCAATCCCGGCAAATGACACACAGTACTGCGTCTTCCACGACCTCATCCGTGAGTCCTCGCGCATGTGCTGCTGGGGGCCCTGCTGAGTTCTGAGTGTCACCATCCCACACCTCCTACCTCTGCAACTGTCCAGCAGTATCTCAGTGGCTTTGCCTTTTGTGAGCTTAGGCTATTCTAAGTGGCCCTTTTTTTATGTGTTTTGTTTTGTTTTCAGCACTGGGAGTTGAAGTTATGGGAGCACTGAGTTATGTCTACCCCTAGCTATTTTTCTGTTTTGAGACAGGGTTTTGCTAAGTTGCTCAGGTTGGCATTGAACTTGAGATTTTCCTGCCTCAGTCTTTCTCAGGGTAGGCATTTCTGGCATGCGCCATCATGCCTGTCTTGAATGGCCATTACTGCTGACTGTATAGTTTTCTCCTTGTTCTCTTGCCTCTGATGTCAGTATTGTGTGTATAGCAGATGGGCTGGTGCTACTGCCCAGCCTGGGCCTAGGACTCTGTCCAGCGTGGGCTGGGCATGACTACTATGTTCTGTTGTAGGCGCCATGCTTAAGGTCAACCCTGAGGAGCGGCTGTCCATTGCAGAGGCCGTACGCCAGCTGCAGGAGATTGCAGCTGCAAGGAATGTGAACCCCAAGGCGCCCATCACAGAGGTGAGGCCTGACATCTGTGCTGACCCTGCCTGCATTGAGGGGTCCGAGGTGTGCGTTCTCAGCATCACCTTAAGATCTCCTCAGCTGGTGGGTCCTGCCACAGCCTTGGGGAAGTCCAGTGCTTGGGCCACCCCTGAGGGCTGCTCTGACAGCAGTCCAAAAGTCCTTGCCCTGGATGCTGCAGTGCATGAGGTCTTTTAGTTCCTGGGCTTATGCATTCAGTCATGGCTCAGGGTCTCAGCTGTGGTCACTCTCAGGCTCAATCTGCAGGTCAAGGACAGGCTGGGGAGAGTGGGCAGGCCAGGCAGCTCTTCGGCCATTTGGCTGGAAGCACTTTTTGAAGTAGCAGTGAGATTGCAGGGAGTGGATGAGTTCATAGGTTCCTTTGGGTCCCACCTGTTTGCCACCCTCTCCTGGAGCACTGGTCCTTTTTCTGTGGTTTTGAGTCCTTTCAGCCTTGAAGCTGGAATTTCCCAGGGCTGTGGATGTGGGTCTGTGGAGGGTGTGTGTGCCGTGTGGAGAGGTCAGAGTGACTGGCCTGAGTGCTTAGGGATGGGGACTCTACAGGGGGAAGGTTGAGGGTGCTCAGGGTTCTGGTTTCTATGGAGGTGGCATTGAGTGTATAGGCCAGGGGTCAAGGAGTGGCAAGAAATGAGGACATTGGCTGGTGGATCCCCTCTGGGGGCACTAGGCAGGGATAGCCTGAAGCTGGGTGCCAGGTACTCTGGGTTGGTAAGTGGATGGTATAGATGACATCATCAGGACTGTTGGGAGAACTGTGGAGGTAATGAGTTGGTTTCAGAAGGGACCGAGAGATTGAGAGTGACGGATGGTTTTACACAGGGTGACTGAGCCTCTGTGCCTCTGATTCTTAGACCCTTCTGTAACCTGAAGATGCCCTCAGTTGGGTGTGGGAGCTGGGCCCTCGCTCTTCCCACTATCCAGAGAGGAGTGGCCACTTGCCAAGGGGAAGACGAGTGCATCTGACTTTAGCACTTACAGAACCCCTTAAGCCTTTCTCTGTACCAGAGAACATCTCATGGCTGGAGGAGACAGAGGGCCAGCCCACCTCTGAGCACTGCTAGTGCCCTTGGGTTGTGTGTAGTCTACTCCTGCTCCAGGGGTCCAAGGGCTGGTAAGAGGGAAAAGGAGCAAAAGGAGATTGTAGTCCAAGGGCAGGGAGGATCTGCCATGAGCAGGGCTCAAGCAGCAGCCGAATGTGGCTGGCTTGTGGGAGCTCACAGTACCTCTGACTCTTCCAGCTGCTGGAGCAGAATGGAGGCTATGGGAACCCAGGGCCATCCCGGGCACCACCCACTCCTGGGGGACCTTCAAGCAGCAGCAACAGTGGAGGTGAGACCTGCCTGCCCCCACCTGCAGGGTGTCCCTCTGCATTGTGCCCATGTGCTAGAAACCAAGTCCTCATCTGGTGGACAACCTGTCTCATGGGAGCTTCGTGGGAGGCTGCAGGCATAGGGTCCTTGAGGCTCCACAATTACTGGGACTCTTGCTCAGCTGAGTGGAGGTGCTAGTGTGGTGTCAGATCCAACAAAAGCATTTATAGACAGTCAGCTGAGGGTAGTTGCAGAACAGGGCCAGAGGGACAGGGCCATCCCAAGGCAGTTGTGGGCACCTCACTGGGCAAGGCCCTGGCCCTCCTGGTGTCCAGGTTGTTGATGGGGTCGGCCTGGTGGGCACAGCTGGCCTGTCTGCAGCTTCTGTCCTGGGGTCCAAGGTTCCACAGAGAACTCCACCGAAACTTCAGCTGGGCCACAGAGAAGATGATCTGAGTAGAGTGTCTGGCCCCTGTAGGGTGAGCTGTAGGGTGTATGCAGGCAGTAGGGTGCCTGTAGGCAGCATCACAACCTTGAGCTGACACAGGCGAGGCCCCTCCATCTCTTTTCAGGGGCTATGGCAGGCTCTCTGAGTCCCTCCCAAGCTGTCTATTCCCTGAGGAGGGCCCTGGGTCCATATGTGGTGGGGCCCACTTATGCCCTATGTGGCCAGTGTCTCCATGGATTGTGGGGAAAGGGCCTCACAGTGTCAGCTCTCTGCCTGCGGTACTACACAGGGCCTTGGTTGCCTCTGCACCAGCTTGCCCTCAGAGCCTCTGAAGGCCTCACACAGGACCCTGTAGTTTGGGAGCTGCTCCGTTGGCCTCCAGTTGGAGCTCATGGCCAGGGCAGTGTGCCTCCTTCCTCATGCCCCATGGCCCTGTGACCCTCTGAGACCTGTTTCCCCTACAGCCCTGGCCTTAGCAGAATATGACCAGCCCTATGGCGGTTTCTTTGACATCCTACGGGGCGGGACAGAGCGGCTCTTCACCAACCTCAAGGATACCTCCTCCAAGGTCATCCAGTCTGTGGCCAAGTAAGTGCAGGACAGCCTGTGCCAACCTCCCTCCTACCAAGTGCAGATGTGGGGAGACCCCAGCAGTCTGCAAGCTAGAAGCACTGTCTGTGGAGCCCTTTGTGTGTTGGCTCTAGGCTCACAGCACCCATCTTAGAGTCTGGCTCCCTCTGTGGACACCCTTGTACAAGTGCTGTTTGTTTCTGTGATGTAAACCAGCAAGGCGGTGATGGGGTGCGGTGATCCTTCTCCCATATATTTCTCTTTAGTTAACATGGTCACCATGGAGGCCTGGCCACAGGGCTGAGCAGTGTTTGAGGTCACATTCTGATATGGAGAGCATGTGATGGGGCCAGAGCTCTGTGGTCACACAGCCTTCTAAGTATGGTGACACTTTGGCCTCTTGGCTTCTTTTTTTTTTTTTTTTTTTTGTACAGAAGACTGACCTCAGGACTTTACACTTGCAAGGCAGGCATTTATGCCACTAAACTGTATCCCTGGCCCTTGGCTTCACTTTCTTTTGTGTCATAATTGTCCGTGAGTGTTCACAGCTCTGACAGTTGTATGTATGCACCTGTGAGCATGCATCATGCACTTGTGAGCATATATGTGTCTTACAAGTGTGTGTGCTGCTTGGTATGAATGTGTACATGTGTGAGTGTGCAAGCATGTCATACATGTGAGTGCATCTACTACATTGTATGAATGTGTGCAGACATTGTGAGCACATGTGATTTCTTCCTAAGAACAGAGCTTCACACGCACTTGGTATGTTGGATTGACTCCAGTAGCAGTGCGTTCCTCTAGCTTTGGCTGGTCTCACAGAGCAGGCCGAGTATGGCCAGATGGTGGTGAGCACCCCAGCTCTGTACCCAGAGTGGCCCTACATTCTTGTACCTCCCAGGCAGTATGGGTTGTAGATCTGATGGATGTACCTTTCTGTGTCCCTGGAGCCTACCTGCTAGACTAGAGTTTGAAGTGGATGTGAACCCTGTGGTGCTTGGTCCCTTTTCATGTTTGTACCCTGCTGTGTCCTCCACGCACCTGTGCAATTCTCCAAGGGTGGCCAGGTCACTGCCAGGTCTGGTGGTTTGCACTCAACTGTGTGTTCTTGTTTTGTTTCTTGCTGGTAATTGTTACATGTACACTTGTCCTGGTCAGTGGTTCCTCTGCTAAATTTTGGAGTACTGGGCTTGCCTGCTCTTCTGTCTGTTTCACTTGTCACCTTGGTCAGCAAAGCTTTGGCCTTAGCTAACTTGTCTGTAGTTCTGCAGCGCTTGGTCCTTAATCCTTGACCCTTGTCTTGGTGGCTTATCCATAGTGGTGAGTGAAGAGTGTGGCCGTCCTGCCCTGGCCCTGCCCAGGGGTGCAATGCAGCTCCCTGTGTTTCATTGCCAACTGGCTGCCTTTGCACTCTTCTCCCAAAGCACTTTTGGCTGCTCTTCCAAAGCTTTTTCTCAGGACAGAGTCTAGAATGAGCCTGTAGGTTTCTACCCAGTTAGCGTTGGTCTGTACTTTATTGGTTTTGTTGACTTGCTTAGGGAATAATTGACCTCTCTAAGCTGACTGAAGCCACCACCAGGAATGTATATGTCCCTGTGGATTGGGGTTCCCTTCTGCCTTCTGTGGCCTGCATGGGGCCTTGGGTCATCTGCCACAGTGCCCTACCAGTCCTTGAACCAGCAGGACCCATGCCCACCATCCATGATGACCTCACCTTTGTATCCTCTCTGAGAAACAGCTCCCACTGTTGCTTCTCTAGGACCTGTGGGAATATAGGAAGGCCATTGAATCCCTGCAGGTGCTGATTGCTGTATAGTATCATGTGGGTATCACTATCGTATGTACCATGTGGCATCCTGTGAACATGATCACCTCAGGATGCAGCCTGTAATGGGGTGGACTCTGTTTTCCAAGACTGAACTCAGCTAGATGTGATGTGCTATCTAGTATTTTCTATATAGTTATACCTTCTTCTCTGATTCCAGCTATGCAAAGGGCGATCTGGACATATCTTACATCACTTCTAGGATTGCTGGTAGGTCAAGGTGTAGGGTGCATCTGTGCCCTTTCTGTGCATAAAGACAATTTGTGGGTCTGGGCTGGTAATACCAGAGGTGGCTTGCTGCCTCTTTAGCTTTCTAGGTAGCTGGGAATTCTGCTGGGCCTGGGCACCATCCCAAAGAGGTAATATTTGGGTGACCTAGGTCTAGTGTAGTTTCTGGCCCAAGTAGTGGGCAGCCCAGTTTTGGCACCATCCGGAGGAGCTCTGAGGTCATGGGATGAGGCCACACATTTACACTAGGTCTCCAAACAAAGCATAGTTGAGAACACTCACCATGACACTTGGAGACCTGCAGGCCCTCTCAACCATGTCTGTGCAGTTGAGTGGAGGGATCTCCCATGTTGGTGGTCTGAATGCCTTGGGCAGTAGCGAGGCTAGGCATCCCTGCTAGACAGGAAGGCAAGTGTGCGTGGCAGGTAGAGAGAGCTCCTGGGGTCCTGGGTGGCTGATGGGCAGCTCTGTTTCAGTGATGTCATTCCCTGCTGAGGGCATGGAGTCAGCTATCAAAAATAATATTGAAGATGTGCGGTTGTTTCTGGACGCCAAACACCCGGGCCACTATGCTGTCTACAACCTGTCCCCGAGGACCTACCGGGCATCCAAGTTCCATAACCGGGTGTGTGGCCATAGGTTTTGTCTTGGTGGGATGTGGCGGTTTTTCACTGTCTTTAGTGCAGTCAGTCTGCCCCTAACTGTGCTAGATTGATCTTGATCTTTTCCCAGTAGCCTGTGGTACATAGATGAGGCTCTCACCAGATGAGGCTCTATGTAGGGAGCTTGGGCCTGGAGGAGCAGCGCAGGGCAGGCCAGGGTAATCTTGAGGGCAAGTGGGATGTGTGTCTTGCCAGGGAATGAAGGATGCTGCTTGCCAGAGCTGGGTACCTCCTTTCAGCCCCCAGGGGAGTGAGCATCTTGACACAGAATCTTCCCTGCTTTTATGACCTAAGGCACAGGAAGGGTGACTCGTTTTGTACTGTCAGTGAGTTATGTCACATGTCACAGAGGGCCAGCAGCATAGGCAGATACCTGCATGCGAACTGTAGTCAAGGAGGGTGCCCAGGACAAAGCTACCATATCCTGGAAGTCCCAGGGGGTGCTGTTGGGCCAGGCAGGCAGCTGAGGAGCACTGGTTATGTGTTGCCAGCTGAGCTCATGGCATGACTGGCAGCTGAGCCAGTGGGACCTCTCCATAGGTTACCGAGTGTGGCTGGGCTGCCAGGCGGACCCCAAACCTCCATAGCCTGTACACCATCTGCAGGAATATGCATGCCTGGCTGCGGCAGGACCACAGGAACATCTGCGTCGTACACTGTATGGTGAGTGCACAGTGGCCCTGTGGTCACTGGGCCTGGGTGGGGGTGTTGCCAAGTGGGGTCAGGCAGAGGCAACCATTGCCATAGCAGGTTCTGGCCTGGTGGATGGACCACTGGGGAGTTGCTGTCCCCACTGTGCTTTGGCTGTGACCCATTGGCTGACTTAAAGGCTACTTTGTTGCATAGGGACTTCAACTTGGCTCCCCCATAGCCAGGCAGATGAACCCCTAACTCTGGTTTTCCATCGGACAGGGTCTGAGGACGGGGTCTGTAAGCCTCTTGTAGGCAGCTTAGGTGCTGCTGTGGGTGGTGTTGGTGGAAGTCATTCAGATATGGGCACCTGTGGGGCCAGCACTGAGTACTGGGTAGACAGTGACACTGCCTGGCCCCATGTTGCAGTAAAGAGCCCTTGTTCTCTGCTGGCCGTGAATCTTATGGCAGGGGTAAGAGTTCTGAACGTACCCTAAACTGCAGTGTATCTTCCCTATGGCCACAGTTGTGGGAAATATACAGGAACCTCACTCCTGTCCCATGCATGTGTGGCCAGGTAGGAAGGAGCCCTATGTCCCTTTGTCCTAGGATGGGAGAGCAGCATCTGCCGTGGTTGTCTGTGCCTTCCTGTGCTTTTGTCGCCTCTTCAGCACTGCTGAGGCCGCTGTGTACATGTTCAGCATGAAGCGCTGTCCACCAGGCATTTGGCCGTCCCACAAAAGGTACCAGGGATCCTGGCTGAGGACAGTGACACCTCTGGCTCTGTGGGCACTGAGGTGACACTGCTCTTGCTGCATTCATTCACTAACCCTTTCTTAGGGCTGAGTCAGTACCACTCTGGGTGCCAGCACAGTGGCACATAGCAAACTGTACAGACATACTGCAGCCAATATACCTGTCCATGTCCCGGGCAGCAGCTCTTCCTGCAGGTGTGGAGCCTGGTATGGCCCTGCTCACAAGGCCAGCTCTGCCATCAGATGCCATGCACACAAGCCCTTTTCCCTCCTTGCTGAGAGGGGCTCCCTCCCCACCCTATGAAGGATGCCTAGCTCGATCCTCTCTAGCCTGTTCCAAGTCTGCTGCGTTCTCCAGCTTCACCTACCCACCTCTACACCTGTGCTCTACAGTGACAGGGACCTTTGTCTGTCAGATTGGAGAAGCCAATGCATGGCATAAATGCTCCCTTGATGAGCTTTATCTGGTGAGGACTTAGGGACCTGGAATAGCCTCCTCCTTCCACAGGACTGGGTCTTGGTGTAGTCATCAGAGGGTCCTGAGAGTAGGCAGCACAGGAGCAGAAGGTGATGTAGTACTATGAGGGACTCCTTCCCCTGGGGGGCAGAAATGTGACAACCAGCTGGACCTTATCATGCTTCCAAATCCCTTGGAACAGCTTGAGCCACTCCAGGCCCCAGTGTCAGGCACTCATTGTTGGTGCATACATGGCTGGTCATAGGGATGAGGTGGAGCTTGGGGGCTGCAGCATAGGAGTGTACACTCCTCGCAGGCAGTTCAGTGTTCACAGAAGACCAGGAGAGGTCGAGGAACACACAGGCCCCACCTGGTCCTTTGCCCCTTGGGAGCAAAGGGGTACTAAGCACTGTTTTGGAGCTTTTAGAGAAACGTAGAGTAACTGGTTGTGCCCATGGCCCTAGTACAGACGGCGCAAGGCTCAAGGTCCAACAGTGATGTCAGAGAGGAAGACATGCACGGGAGTGGAGAGAGAAGCCCTGGAACGCTATAAATGGGCCCTGCCCAGCTGTAGAACCAGCTGCACACAAAGACAGCAGAGTCAGCGAAGGACCAGAGATCACAGCTCTGGCAGGCCCTTGCAGGTGGCAGGATATGAATGTGTGCAGTCCCCAGAGAATGGGGTAGAAACACTGGAGGAAACTGGAGGAGAAGCATGGGAGGTTCCTGAGTTCACAGCTGACTCCCAACACCCAGGAAGTGCAGGACACTGAGTGGGATTGAACCTAGACAGATGAGGAAACCCACTGAACTTGTCTTGTTGCAGACCATTGCCACCAAATGCAACCATGCATTGGAGGAGCCTGTGTAGGGCAAAGGTTTGGACTGTAACTTGTCTGAAGCCCTCGACAGCTGGTATACATGTTAACTGCCATAAATATTATGTCAGCCAAGAAAAAAATGAAACCATAGACATACCCAAGAGAAGGTAAAAGATAAGAAGGAAAGGAAACTGAGAATGAGGACAAGTGGACAATGCTGATGTGGCAAAGGAAGCGAGAAAGGGCAGTCATCAGTCCAGGGAAGGTGGGGCTGCTAGTGTGATGTCTGCAAGAGGAGATTAGGACAGTGTGGAGCTGGCAGCAGTGGCAGGCAGACTATGCAGGGCCAGTCACTGGATTCTGTGTCCAGCCCATTCAACATAAGTAGTGTTCCTTCACTTCTGGCAGAAGAATGTGACATCCTGACTTTGTGCAGATGCCTGCTGGGCCGCCACAGTATCCAGTCTCACGGGAGCCTGCGGGAGGTGATATTCTTCCCCCATGGCTGCTTCTGAAGGACGCCTACAGAAGGAACCCCCACAATGGGAAATAAGCATAGGATTCCCCTAGAATCTCCCCATGGGAAAGTAAGAGAAGCTGGGTCACCAAAGAGATAGAAAACATATGGTAGTGTGATAGTATAGACTTCATCATTTCTCTTGAGATCCGTGGAGGAAGTAGATAGGAATCAGAGGTCAGCGCCCCACCTGACATCGTGGGGAAATTGTGACAAGAGAAACTGACACATTTCTTTCAAGTATGCAATAAGAAAGAATTTTGAACCATTACTCAAAGCTCAACAAACTTATAGGGTGGGAATCATACATAGAAATGTGTTCTCAGGCCACAGAGAGTAAAACTAGAGCTTAGTAACAGACAAACATCTAGAAGAATGCCTAAATATTTTAGAATTAAACACCTTCTCAATGACTTGTGAGTCAAAGAGGAAGTCTCAAGGGTAATTTAAAACAATATTTTGGACTAAATGAAAATTACAGTGTTAAGTTTGAGAAGCCACTAAAACATTGCTTCATGGGAAATGTGTGGCATTGAGTATGTTGAAGATCCAGTGTGTCGTGCCCTTGGGGACACGCTGGGCATGTCTGCCCCAGGTACATCGAGTACGTGTGTGACATGGTAGCAGAGGAGCCCATCACGCCGCACAGCAAGCCGATGCTGGTAAAGGCTGTGATCATGACCCCCGTGCCGCTATTCAGCAAGCAGAGGAATGGCTGCAGGCCCTTCTGTGAAGTCTACGTGAGGGATGAGCGCGTGACTACCACCTCCCAGGAGTACGACAGGATGAAGTGAGTGCAGATGTAGGTGTCCCTCCTGTGCCCCCAGCATACCTCTGAGCCCTGTAGGAACAGGAAGCCATGTTACCTCCTGAGTTCGAAGAAGTGGGGCCTTGGGTGGGGTGGGGTCCTTTGTTGTGCGCATACCACCAATTATGAGAGAAACTGGGAGTCCTTGCTGTGGTTTGTGAGCTGTTTCTTATTCTGTTCTAGGGAGTTTAAGATCGAGGACGGCAAGGCAGTCATCCCCTTGGGCATAACGGTTCAAGGCGATGTGCTCATTGTCATTTACCATGCCAGGTCTACTCTTGGTGGGCGGCTGCAGGCCAAGGTAAGGCTACCTCAGCCGAGTATGCTGCCAGCTCCCTGAGCTCTCAGGCCTCAGCTAGGCTGTGGAGGAGCTGCAGCTGTCCCGTGGGCCGGTCCCTAGCACTCCATGCGGCACCTGCGGATGGGACTGTACCCAGAAGTTCCCTGGTGTGGTACCACAAGGGGCTGCTGGGCATGGGCCTTGGGCCCCCCTGCCCCATGCCAAAACACTGCTGCTCCCTCACGGCCAGCACCTGGCATCTCTGTGTCCTAGGGCCTTACACGTTGCAAAGAAGGGGTAACATGATCCAGGCTTGGGGGCTCTGCTTTTGAGCAGGTCCTCTATGTGACCTGAACCTCAGCCCCAGTCCCTTCTTCAGCCAGGCTTGCTCTCTTGCAGATGGCGTCCATGAAGATGTTCCAGATTCAATTCCATACTGGTTTCGTGCCTCGGAACGCAACCACTGTAAAGTTCGCCAAGTACGTGCAGGATGGGTCAGTCTGTGGGAGGCTGTGGATGTGGCAACCAGCAGGTGGGTGCTGGTCACACTGGGCCTGGGACCCACCTATCCTAGGCATCAGGGCTCCTGGGGCCCCAGTAGCTTTGACTTTGGACCTGTACCTGTGGCCTGATCCATGTATTTCTTTCAAGACTTTACCTGCTCAAAGCCAGATGTGGTTTAAGCTGGCATGAGAGCACTTGATGTGCTTTCTGAGCACCATGTGTGACTGCTCTACTGGGCACTGAGGTTGGAAGGAAGATGCTGGCCCTTGGACTTCAGAGACAGATGTGAAGCTGCCACGAGGAGAAGGCCTTGGGTGACACGGCACTCAGCAGTCGCTGTGTTGTGACGCAGGAGTCGGCTCTGCTCTGTGGGACAGCATGGCACAGTGTAGCTGTGGGCAGCAGAAACATGTCTAGGCTTGGGCATTTGGGTCTGGCTGGTGGTTCTTCTCAGATTCACTGGGCTGGACCACACCTGTAGGGAGCGGGACTGCGCCAGCTCCTCTCACTAGGTGTCTGTTCTTGCTCTTGTATTGGTACCTTATTTATTTTATTTTCCTAAACCTAGGCTGTCTGATTCTTCCCACCGTAGTAGAGGCATGCTTTTAAAAATCTCTTTAAAGACTAAATGACTGAAGATCAGGAGGAAAGAATATGTGAAAGCGCTGCAGGATTTGGATAGTGGGGTTAGTGAATGGGGCTGGGAGCAGAATGGCTGTGGCCTGAAATCTGCCCTGATGCTTTGGCCTGCTCCCTGTGCTGAGATACAAAGGGGCAGGGACTGTCCTGCGGAGATGATTAAGGTTCAGTTCAGCTGTGGGCCAGGTCCTTTATCCACTAGGACTGTGGCCTTGTCAGAGAAGGAAGAACAGAAACACCGATGCTGTCCTGTCCTTAACACTGTGGACTTAAGGACCCAAGGCCCTTAACTCAGGACTTTGCAGGTCCCCAGCAGCCAAGAGCTCTTCACCAGGTGGCCACTGATGTTAACCCTCTGAGCCTCACAACTATAAGCAGGGGAAACCTTTATTTGTAAATTACTGAAGTCTTTTGTGTTCTGTTATAGCAACAGAAAACTGACCAAGACAGTATATTCTAGAAAAGTGGGCAAGATAGAGAACCTCACCAGACCTGGAACGTACAGAGAGGCAGATGTGAGTTTTAAAACAAAAATTTCACAGCCAAAATGAATTCAGGAGGGGGGTTTAGCCACAGATTAGGTAATGAGTTTGTAGGAAAATGTCTTTAGCTTGCAGAACAGAAGAGGCTGTGGAGAGCAAGACACTTGGACTGGTCTGGTGTGCTGTGTCTAAGGTCTGAGGGTGGGAGGGAGAGAGAACACACGTGAATAGCTGCCTGACATGGGAGAATGGACTGCAGTGGTTCCCAAACCATTGCTGTCGGTAGCAGTCTTCTGTACTGATGCATTGGGCTGTCCTCAGAAGCACTACAAACACTGCAGGCCTGGGTAGTAAAAAAAAAACCCCACCTGAGACCTTTACAGTCACAGACTCCATGGAGTCATCATCTATAGACTGACAAGGCTGATGACTGATTTGGCACAGAGCAGCATACTGCCAGTGCTGGAGGAAAGCCACCTGCCTTCTACATCCAGTGAAGCTGTGTTCAGCCAGAGCTGTATTCAGATTTGTGTTCCAACCAGCAAAGGGAAACAGTGGCAGCACTAGTAGCAGAGTCACTGCCCAAGGTGGTGGGGTACTCTGGAAGCAGGCCTGAAGTGTTAAGAAGGCTTGTGGTGGAATTAGGTGCTGATGACCACAATGTGAACAGCAGGACAACATTGTGGATTTAGGACTTTCCAGCCACTCACCTGAGTTTTTCAGCCCCAGCAAGCTCCATAGTGCCCGGCAGGAGGTGGTGCTATAGCCAGGACACTGGTGAATGGCAACACAGCCTCATAGGGATATAGTCCCAGGTCAAGGCTGCAGGGGCATGAGCACGGGCCTGGACAGGCTGTTCACAGAGGGCCTTGTGTGGTCAAGGCAGTCCTGGACTGTGAAGCTAGAGGATTGACCATCAGGAAGAAAAGCAACTGCAGCTGTGGCCCCTGGACCTGTGGGCAAGGACCAATGTCACCTTCCCTTTGAGACTGCTTGTGCTAATGTTTGGACAATAAGTGTTAAGTCTTGGTCCCAAACATGGCTGTTCTGTACATTTCTCAGAGAAATTACTGCCTTCAAACTGATGGCACCACCAGGCTGAAGAATGGCTTGGACAGGCCCAGCTTGGCCAGTAAATAAGTTCATGAGGGGTGTGGGCTGCAGCATTACCAATGTTGGCAGTGTGCCTCTGCTAAACCACAGGTTTTATAGGGTTTAGATCCCAACAGCAAAAGCTGGAACCAAGAGCAGCAACCCAGAGGACAACCTTGCTGGAATGTGGCGAACTCCACGGGGCCTACTACAAGGATGCTCTTGGGAGAGGGTGTGCAGAATTAAAAATGAAGCCTTGACAGAGGTCATGGTGTCCACCAAGGGATTGTTGGACCTAGCCTCTTCCTCCCTCCCTGGCACCCTTGCTTCCTGGCTGTGCAGTGAGCGTTCTTCCTATACCACAAGCACCTACCACAATGTATTATTCTGCCACAAGCCCAGAGCAACAAGACCCATTGGCCATGGACCGAAACCTCTGAAACAGAGCGAGTAACCCTGCTCTCAAATTTGACATGCAGGTGTCTGTTTGGAAAAAGCCAACACTCGCAGCCTGGGCCTTCTGAGCAGCAGAAACCCACTTCTCACCAAATGGCAAGGCAGGATCTATCTGCTGAGTGCCACTGTTCTCAACTAGGGCTCCTCACGCATCTTTGCATGGCAGAGGCAGGAGCCACCCTATGCTGTCATTCGCTTGACCCCACATTCCTGCTTTCAAATGCAGTACAGGCATTGGGCTCATGGGTATCTACCTGGGGCCAGGGCAAAGGAGTGTAGACACAAAGCACCTTCCAGACTACATGGAGGCACACAGTTCCTCAGGAAGCCTACCTGATTGCCTATTTGGGAGAAATCTTTCTCATAGCATGCACAAAAGCTATTTTGAGACTGGTCACACACCCGAGTTCACCAAGGCTCTATGGCATGGTTCCCAGGAGAAAATGCAGGCTGTCTTTACCACCTTCAGAAGCCTCTTAATGGAAAACTGTGAAAGGAAAGGTTGGTAGTTTATGTTAAGTCCGGTCAGTTTTTCATCAATAAGCAACTTAATAGGTTGCTAGACAGCAGTCCTGGGAGATGTGTGCCTGCCAGACAGAAGACATGTGCAGAACACTTGAAGAATTATAGAATAAGGAAAGCAGCCTGTTGCACACAGGCAAGGTGTGGACATGCAAGAGGCTTGTGCATCTGGAAAGGCTTGCCGCGTCAGTCACCAGTAAGTTCAGAAGCCATCACACATTCTGCCTTTGGCCCAGACAGCAGGCAAAACAATAGAATATATAGGTGAAGTATGGGGTGGCCACAGCTCAGGCCCTTGTACCCCTGTGTGTGTATCCTAGGGCCCTGGGTGCCCAGAAACAGGAGGACCATCAGCTACTTGCTGTCAGTAGCTGGGCCTGGAAAACTCAAGGGTCCCTTGGCAGTAGGATGGCCACGCTGTGCTGTGCATGTGGGGTGGGGTGGGGAGTAGGGAAGGCTGGGCTTTTCTGCCCTGTTCTCGGGGTGAAGAGCCAGAGGCCTGGCTCCTGTGGGCAGCCCATGTGTGCCACTGGGCCTGGGCATTGGAGGAAGAGGAAACCATTCGTCATGGCTGTGAAGGCTGGGAAGCCCCAGGACCCAGCACCAGCATCTGGTGAGGGCTGCTTGGCTGTGGCCACCAATGGAGGAAGCTGGGAGTGCCAGAGCCAACCCTGCACCCGTTTCCATGTGACAGCACAGCTTATCACCTGCAGCATTGACTGTTGTGTTGAGGTTAAGTTGCCAGCACCTGAGTGCTGGGGTCACATTGGGGCCACACTGTACTGTGTCGGGCATACTCATCCTGCAGGTGGTCACATGTTCACTGAGACAGGCTTCACTACATCACCATAGGTGGATGCAGGTACAGAGGCTGGAGAGAGGAAGGTGGAACATGGATGACCAGATACTGCCTTGTACCTGTGCCAGTCCTTGGAGACTGGCTCATAGCAGGCCAAGAGACCTGAGACCATTGAGAATCAGAGGTTTCAATGTCCAGGTCAGAGTCAGGACTCCAGAGAGCATCTTTGTCATCCCAGACAGGCATTTCAGAAGCCCCTCCATGCCCTTGTGGAGCCTGACTGAGTTGGTACCCGACCTCCAGAGCTGTAAGCTGAATCCTAAGGTGCAGGCCCCAGGGGCCGCCCTCCTGCTCACAGACTCCCATTGTTCCCTCACTGCTCTGCAGGCTCAGGGCCAGTCTCCAGAGCCAGCCAGACTGCAGGCTGGGTGGGGGTGGTGCTAGGAGCTGCCACCTGTCATCCCTGAGTAGCCCACCTGCCAATCCCACCTGGCCTCCATCACCTCAGCCATGTCTCTGCGCTAGCTGTGCCCACTATCTGTGACTTGGGCTGGAAGAACCAAGGGTCCCTGGCCAGAGGCCCAGTGAGAAGACGTGTCACAAAGGGTCCAGTCTTCTGTACACTGGAGTCGTGTCTGATCCACAAGGAGAAGCCAAGGGTGATGCGTGTCACCATCACACCTGCTCATGTCTGAGGGAGAGGTGGGGTCAGCCAGCACTTTGCCCTCTAATGCACTATCACCGCTGTCCCAGTGCTGGTGACCAGGGAGCTGTCCATAGGTGCCCTCCGCATCTGGGCTGGAAAGGGTCATCACTTTATTGTGTTTTTAGTGTTGAGGTTTTTTTAAATATAAAATTTAAGTATAATGTGATTTTTTCAGGCAGCAGATGATGCAGGCCATGGCTTAGAGTGCTGCAGAGCCACCCTATTAGGATGGTGCAGTGAAATGGCCAGTGTCACCACCTGCAAGGCCTGTTTGCAACTGGTGGCGCAGGTTGGAGGCCCTGCAGTGCCCCTGCCTGTGCACCCACTTCTCACAGCTTGGGCCAGCTGGGCACAGAGGTGGCCCGCCTCCCTGGCCCCACTGCTGTCTTGCACAAGATCCCAGAGGTCTTGGTTCATGGCTGTCTGGTAATGGTTAGGGACTCCTCAGGGGATATTGCTGTGTTTATGGAAAGTATACTTACCACTAGCTGAGCATCCATGATGCATGTACAGTTGAGGGGACAAGGACTGAACTGTTCTGGGTTGCCTCCCCTCATGACCTCCACCTGGCATAGGCATTGCTGTGCTTTGTGGCAGCTATCTTCTCCTCTAGTCACTTCTGAACACTGGCCCCTTGTGGGTTTGGGGGTCATGGGCATAGCCCAACCTTCCTCAATGTTGACGGAGCCAGGATGTAACTTGGGTGTGCCAGCCCTTGCTGGGGGATCATTGGCCCGCAGGGGAGGGCCGCTCAGAGCAGTGTCATGGGGGCTGAAGGATGAGTGAGCATCTTACAGGTGGTCCTGACCTGTCTGTGGGACCCACAGGTATGACTTGGATGCGTGTGACATTCAGGAGAAGTACCCGGATCTGTTCCAAGTAAACCTGGAGGTGGAGGTGGAGCCCAGGGATAGGTCATGCCAGGAGGCCCAACCGTGGGAGAACACCAGCATGAGAGGGCTGAACCCCAAGATCCTGTTTTCTAGCCGAGAGGAGCAGCAGGACATCTTGTCCAAGTTTGGTAAGGTCACAAAGGTACAACAACACATATAACATGCCCACTTGCAGATGGCCTGGTTCTGGCCCCTGTTGCTGTGTGCAGTAGCCTGTGGAGTTCTGGGCTTCTCTCCAGCTGGCAGCACTTTACCTGTCTGGAGCCCTGGTCCTGATGCTGGGCCCCTGCTGGAGCCATGGGAGCTATAGGAGGTGGTGGGGGGACTCTCAAGACTGTAGCTTAGAGGAAAGGGGCCATGGCATCGATACAGCTGCATCCCACACTATGTCACCCATTGCAGGTATCACACCCCCAGCCCAGCCTCTCCTGGGAGGTCCTTATTCTCGGGGCATAGTAGACTCCTTTCTCTGAAGCAAAGCGGAATTCCTCTGCAAGCACTTCAGCCCTGGAACTGCTGCAGGGGTCTTGGTGGGGCGACTGTGACCCAGTCACTACCTGGGATTCGGTTGTACCACTTGGTGATGCGGGTCACATGTGTAAGAAGATTTGCCTGGGGACCTGTAAGTCATGTTGGTGGCCCCTGTTCAGTTAAGAGGCCTCCTTAATTCAGAGCAGCTCCATAAAGTAATATAACCCCAGGCAAGCAGGACCGCTAGAGTCCTGATCTGTGTTTCTTCCGTCTTGCCTGAGGTGATTTCGTGTCCCAGGAGGGGCATGCTTACCTCCATCATGTCTGGACCCTGCCACCCTGTGTCATGGCTGTGAGTGTCCGTGGCCAGGCTCCCCAGTTGTCCCCGACTATGGGCCTTGTCCCAGATCATACACTGCCACAGGTAGCTAATGCCAGCCCTCTCCTGGCAGGGAAGCCAGAGCTGCCCCGGCAGCCGGGCTCCACAGCTCAATATGACGCCGAGGTGGTGTCTCCAGAGGCTGAGCCTACGGACTCGGACTCACCGCAGAGCAGCAGCGCAGATGTGAAACACTTCCTCCACATGCTGGATTGGCAGGGTATGGTGGGGTGCGGCCCTCCTTCCACCCTAGCATGGGTGTAGTCCACGTGTCCGTCCCCCCCTCCACCTCCGTGGGCCTGAGGCTCCATGCCCATGATGGTACGGCATCACCATGGCCTGCAGCTGGGTGTGGGTTCCTGGGCCCCCTATGCCAGCTGGATTTGAATGTCTCACACACCAAGAATTGCTTCTGTGTTCTTAAAAATTTAAATTAAAAAAAATTGCCCACAAAGGCTATAGTGCTGGTTCAAGCCCTCAGACATTTGTGGCCAAGTCCTCTGCATCCGGCCTGCCTTGCGGCCCTGTGGGTGTCATGTCCCCCCACTATTCCCTGATTCACTGCTGCTATCTTGACTGGATTTCCACTCTGCCTGGCTCTCCTCCGCCTCGTCACTCAACCAGACACCTAGGAGTCATCCCTCTGGTTCTGCAATCCAGGGCCACAACTCCCCACCCCCTGCCAGGAATGGAGGTTCAACTAGCCACTCCTGAGGAGTGCTGGTTGTATCCCCGCTGGCTGAAGAGTCACCCATGGAGTGGCACACGTGGTCCTGGAGAGGCCAGTGGAGCCCCCTACAGTCAAGGCTCAGGGAGGCGTTAAAGCAAAGCCTGGAGCTTGCTGGAGGGGCATGAGGCCCAGGCCTCAAGACATGCACCTCTTCTACCTGTATCAGTCTCTAGGTGCAGTCTCTAGTCTCTTTTGAGGCTGCAGTTCGAGACAGCTACCCATGTATCACCCTGTCCTGTCCTCATTTAGCCATACCAGCCTATAGCTCTACTGACATGTTGGGTTTTTTTGGTTTTTTACAGGAGAGAAAGAAACAGAGACTGGTATGGAAGGATCGTCTTCTAAGGAGAGCCAGGCTGTCCTGATCACAGATAGAGACGAAAGCGAGGCATCAGATGAAGAGGCGGCCTCAGTCCCTAACAGAGACAGCCAGCCTGGGGCCAGTGAGGACTTACCAGGCCCCATTGCAGGGAGCTGGCAGCAAGACCTGATGCTCGACACAGCCACCCCAGCCTCACCACAGGAATCCAGGCCTCAGGAAGATGGCATTGACCTCCTGGGGCTGCACTTGGAGGCAGCCCCAGGACCAGCTGCCTCTGCATATACCTCTCCGGCCCCCTCCAGCAACACTGCCCTGCTCAGCTGCCTCCTGGGGCCACCTGAATCCACTCTGCAGGGGCTGCCCAATGACCTGCTGGGCAGCGAGGCCCCACTCCTGGAGAGTCCAGCCCCTCCTCTGAGTGTACAGAGCAACCCACAGGGAGGACCCCCTGCCACAGGTACACCCTATTCCCCAAATGTATGTGCCATCTTGGAGAAGCCAGCCTTGGCTGTACAGTGCCAGGCCCTGCTTGCTCCTGCGCACTGGCCCAGCTCGCATCCTGGCAGCCAGCCTTGCCCTCTGGCCAGATAGCATCTCTGGGATGGGTGTCTCAAGCTGCTGGGTGTTGGAAAACAGGTGTCTAGGCCCCTCCTGTGGGCAGCAAAGGCCCAGGGCAGATGGCCATGGGTCTGGGCACAGGGCAGTGGCCCAGGCTGTGCTTGTAGAGCCCTAGGTGCCTGATGTAACCACTGACCCTGGTGCTATCTCCACAGCTGACCCATTTGACCCCCTCCTTCTGGCTCCTGATGCTGACTCCCAGCCCTGTTCCCAGCCTGACCTCTTTGGCGAGTTCCTGCATGCAGACCCTGTGGCAGCTCCAGCAACCTTCCCCGAAGTGCCCACCAGCAGTGCCCCGCTGCCATCCAGTGCCACCTTCCTGCCCCTAGGTGAGCATTTACAGCAGGCTGTGCTCAGGAGCCATGCCATCCATGTGGTGGTGCTCTCTAGCTCCAGGGCGCCTGTCGGGCACTCACAGGGTTAGGACACTGATTGACCCTTCTGAAGGTTTTTCTTGGACTCAGGATTGTGGCTGTGAAAGGCAGGCCTGCGTTACCTGAAGCATTTATAGGGGTCAGGCTCAGAACTGAGTTTGGGAAGCTGAGGCTGGGAGGCATGAAGGCTGGTGTGCTGGTGAAGAAAGTTGTACCTGGGATGGGGCCTGGCTCCCTGGGGCAGCTTTGGTGGAGAGGAGGCCCACCTATTTCAGATGTGGTCCAGGTGAGGGTGCTCACATCATCCTTCAGAGGAAGCTCAGTGCTGAGCAGATGCTCCTGCGTGCAGCCCACAGTTCCTGGCTAGCGGGGGACAGTCCAGGCTGTGCACGCGGGGCGTATGGAGGACACCCACGTGTCCGCTGTGCCATGGAGCCCAGGGGCTCAGGAACCATGCGAAAGTAGGTCCTGGGCTCTGCATGGCTGCACAAGGGTTTCTGAGCTGATCTTGGACAGCATGCCGGTGTCATTCTTGTGGCTGCCTTGTGAGGTGCCTCAAAGTACCCTGTCAGTTCGGTGGCCCTGTGTTGCATCCTCATTGCCCATCAGATAGTGCCAGGAGGCAGCAAGGGCTGAGCCCAGCCTCAGCTCTGTCTGCTGGCCAGGAGAATGCAGAAGTGGCAGCTGCTAGGTGCTTGAGTGCTTCCCACCACATATCCGTGTGGGCCCCCAGGCCGCATGGTCCCTGCACACTCAGCCTTCTCACACAGGAAGGGAATGTGAGTACTGGGAAGGAGGAGGCCTTGGAGGGACCCTCGTCATGTTTCTTTGGCCACTTCTTGCAGGGAACCTGCCAGCAGAGCCCAGCAAGGTGACAGCCTCGTCCAGTCACCAAGACCTGCTGGGAGGATGGGATGCCTGGGCCGAGGCTGCTGTGCCCGAGCTGGCCTCAGAAGGTAGGGTACCAGCTCAGTTCATGACAGGTGACGGCACCACTTTCCAGAGGAGTTGCTGTCCACCCTGCATGCTGGTCCCCGGGGGTGTACTTGGTGACTGTGGGTGCTGCAGCCTTCTGTCCTGCGGGCAGATGTCTTGGAAGCTTCACATTCTGTCCCTGTGCCTCTGTGGGATTCTAAAAGACCAATTTGTTTTGGTGCTGCGAGCCCTGCTCAGATGAGAACCCCTGCACCCCTGTTGCTCTCCAGCCCTGGCATCTCCCTTCGGGACGTGCTGATCAGACTATTGGCCTGGAGCAGCTGCTGCCCTCTTTCTTGTGCAGTTTAGTGATAGCTTTAAAGATGCTTCACCAGTTCCATGGGCTATTGGTGCTTTGGATTAGCATACTTCATTACAGACCAAGGTGACTTGTATTTCATATATTTTTAGTTATTCTTCGGAGAATTTACTTTTTTGCTCCTTTCTCACGTAGGGAATTCTCATTTTTCTTACTGATTTGTGAAAATTCTACATATGAATAATCACTGTGGGGGCAAGATCTCACTGTGTAATTCAGACTGCGCTTGAGTTCACTACATAGCCCAACCTGGCCTGGAACTTACAGTGATCCTCCTGTCTCAGCCTCCTGAGTGCTGGGATTACAAGAGTATGCTATTATACCCAGAAATTTTTTTTTTAATTTTATTTAAGGAGAAAAAAAAAAAAAAAAAAAAAACCAGAAAAAGGGTACAAGTTATACAGAATTCAGAAAAAAACAATAGGAAATCACTAGTTAATTACATATTGTCATCTTAGAAATAGTTGTTCAAGTTACAAAATTAAAGCATATAGAGGGGACTTTCAAACAGTGAGACTGCAAACAGTTTTGTTCAGTGATCCAACAAAACTCAGTAATACAGTTATCTATCTTATATACTTAAATATATATGCAGTTATATCTTTTAGAGAACTTTCTTTTCCTTATTATACCCAGAAATTATCTTTTTTCTCTTTTTTAATGTCTTTTTGAGTCAGGGTCTCACTATGAAGTTCAGGCTGGCCTTGAACTCTGTGTAGTCCAGGCTGGCCTCAGGCTCATGTTGATTCTCCTGTCTCGGCCTCCTGAGTGCTGGGATTACAGGTGTGCTGCCACACCTGGATGAATAGTCATAATTTTTAATGACTGCATAATATTTCATCAAGGAACAATGTGATTTAAGATGTTCTCCCATTTATATTGTTGTAAGGTATGTCATGAAGAACACTCTAGGTAGATTCTACCAAGTTGTTCCTCACTGTTGGAGTGATGTGGGTGTTGAGCAATTTATTGTGGACAGGCTCATTTGAGTGGTGGTTCTGTGCCCTACCCCTGCTCAGGCTGAACCCAAGAGTCTCTGGAGGGTTTTTCTTTGTCTGATAGCCTCCATCCTTCTCCAGGATCCCTCTTTCCTTCTGGAGCTCAACTGACCCCTGCCGGTCCCCACCCCAGCCAGACCAAGTCTCAGAGCCTGGATCCATTTGCTGACCTCGGTGCCCTCTGTGACCTTGGCTGCAGCCTCCCAGGTAAGGTGAGAGCAGGCCCTGAGTGCCTGAGGCAGCAATGGCTGCCAAGTGTCCTTTGGACACTTTTTTTTTTTTTAAAAACCAAGTCAGAGTCTTAGTGTATAGCCAAGGCTGGCCTCAAACTCATGGTGGTCCTCCTGCCTCAGCCTCCTGAGTGCTGGGATAACAGGTGTGCACTACCACACCCAGCCGTTGGCTAGCATGTGGTACCCCAGTGGAGACTGTGGCTACGGGTCCTGCCTGGCTAGGTGGTTGCTGTTGGGTGGTCTTCTCGTGGCTGTGCTGGTCCCCGAGGTCCCAGCTATGCAGTTGCTCTGCTGGCCTCGTCCTCTCCCTGACCAAGAGTTCTGGGCAGCCGTGTGATTTGGGTGTGCTGGCCTCAGCCCGACCCCCTCTTGTCTCCTGGCCTCCTGCTGCTGTTGTTCTTTTCTGGGAGTGTTTTTTTTTTTTTTTTTTGGTCTTTTTCCTTTTTATTGGTACCAGGGATCGAACCCACGACTGCCTGCTTGCAAGGCAGGCGCTTATGCTGCTGAGCTAAATTCCCAGCCTCAGGAGTGTTGTTCTTTAAATTCTTGGGTTAAAAAAACAAACAACAAAAAAAAACAAAACTGTGCTGTTTTCTGAGGCTGTGTCCCTGAGAAAGGCTCCCCTACTGTCTGTCTTCCGCCCTGTGTGCTGGACTGAAGTTGCCTCCCTCTGGTGCCAAGGGTGCTACAGGTCTCAAAGCAGAGAGCTCTGAGGAACATGGTGCCTTTTCTGGAGGGAGCCTACAAGGCTGACAGCTGGGTAGAGGATGGGCCAGCTCAGCACCACAGACAGCAGCACAAGTTGCTTCCCCATGCCTGTGCGCCACGTGGTGCCTTCTCTGTGTGGAGAAAGCCATATCGGGACTCGAGATTTGGCTAACTATAGCCCCAGCACACGGGAGATGGAGCAGCCCTTGCAGTTGACGAGCCAGGTGCAGGAGCCCTATAGACAGAGCCCAAGAGCAGGCTAAGTGACAAGAAGCCGAGCACCACTGAGCCACACTGGAGGAGACAGACCAAGTATCTTGCTAGCAATGTGAGCTGTCTCCTGAGAAACTTGAAAAGAAAATGCAAGACAGCCCCAAATGAATTAAAAGGAAAAGAAGAATTTTAAAAATCTAAAAACAACTTTAATTTTTAGAAGAATGGATAGAATTTACAGATTGACAAAAAAGACAAGAGATACCTTTGCAGAGCCCAGCAAGCCAACAGCAAGAGGGGACATCTTGCCAGGAACAAGCAAAGTGGGACGTCCCACAGTCAGGAACACGGTGGGCATGTTCTCTGTACTGCCTTGTGCACCAGGAGGCTGCATGGGAAACATGGGAGATAGAAACCTCCTGCACCCTGCAGAGGCAGCACCCAGCCCTGGGAGGTCTAGGAAGCAGACTTCTCACATGCACTGGTGGTAATGCAAATGACAGCCACTCTTGGTCAGTTTCCTGCAAAACTAAACTGCAACTGCCACACTTCGCTGCTGGTTACCCAGAGAAGTCTGCAGTGGCTTCTTCCATATGCTGTCTGTGCTGGTGGCAACAGGATGGGTGAGGTGCACTTCCATGCCAGGAAGCGCCCCTCCCTGTCAACAGCTGACTAAGGGTCTTTGAGGGTTCAGAGATCCCTTGTGGGTTCCACTTGCAGGATGCGGTGGACTGCCAAGGGCCCAGCTTGTGTCAGTTAGCCATGGTGCTGCCGGAATCTGCACTATGGAAGAAGGCACAGACTCTTTCTTTGGGGCCATGTATGCTGGCATCGGCAGGTACCACCCTGGGAGACCGGTTGCAGTCTCAGGGACCCTCAGTTTCTGGGATTCTAATTACTTTACAGAAGTTAAAACATCACATGCAGGTTTGAAGTGCTCAGGCCACTCTATGCATTGGGAATGCTGGCCTCCATCTGCTGTGGATGGGTGTGCAGGAATGTCTCAGTGTCTGCCCCTCATACATGTGAATGGAGCAGGCCACCTTGAGTGACTATGTGTCCAGGTCCAGCAGCAGTCTCCCTATCTGTATAACCGCTGTGTGACAGTGGCCTGAGTGTCATGTGGTCTTCTCCCAGGCTTGGCTGCTGGACCCCCACTTGGAGGCTTTGTTCCCAAAGCAGCCCCTTCACCCAAAGGCGGTAGCTCCTGGCAGACAAGTCGGCCACCAGTCCAGGGCACGTCATGGTCCCCCCAGCCCAAGATTCCTGCCAAAACTTGCGTACCGCCAAGGCCAAACTACTCCATGAACTTCAGTGTGATTGGGGACCGAGAGGAACGGGGCGTCCGCATGCCCAGCTTCAGTGAGTCACATCCGGGAGGTGTGTGGGGTCTGTCCTGGGTGGTGGCAGGTCTCATCAAGGTGCCTATGGTGAGGTGTGGCATCCTGCCTGTTGGCATCCACCCTGGCCTCACGCAGTCCTCCCAGCGTAACTTCTCTGTCAGGTTTGGCAGATGGTATTTGGGGGCCCACGGTCTCTTCCTGTCCCTTTTCTGAGGAAGCCTCAGAACAGAGACTTGCCCTGTTCTGCCCACCAGGGGGCTGGGCAGAGTGGGAAAGGGGCAGTGTCTCTGCAAAGCTCCTGTTCTCTTCCAGCTCAAAAGCCAAAAGTCTCAGAGAATGACTTTGAAGATCTGCTGCCCAACCAAGGCTTCTCCAGGTCTGACAAGAAGGGGCCAAAGACCATGGCAGAGATGAGGAAGCAGGACCTCGCCCGAGACACAGACCCCCTCAAGCTGAAGGTGTGTGGGTGAAGGGCTGGATGAATTTGTGTCTGGGAGCTGGCACCCCAACACATGGCACCTTTGCCCAGAGCAGGCAGGACAGGATGGGTTAGACTTGCACCTCTTGGGCCTGAGGCTCGAGTAGAAGTTCTGCAGCAAAGCACCAGTGTGGGCAGCAGTGTCACCTTAGGCTTCTCTGACTTGGGACACTCAGTATGGGGCAACACATGACACCTTGGTCAGCTTTCCTATCATGGGTCTGAGGAGCATCCTTATTTGCAGATTAGGGTGGTACGTGGCTCTTAAGGGCACAAGCTCTATCCAACCACAGAAACCACCTTGTCATATTGGGCCCTGAGTCCTGAGCTGGAGTGACTGTGCCAAGGGGCCAGGATTTGTGTCCTGCGAGTGACAGACATTGCTGGCCCAGAACACTGCTATGATATGGGGGACCCAGGGCAGGACTGAGGGGCTGAGGTGGAGCCCTGACAGGTGAGAGGGATGGAAACTGTCTGGAGGTGCCAGGCTATCCCCAGGGAGCTGCCACTGAACTCCCCCATGGCCAACAGTTGGCAGCCACTGGGAGGACGGTGCCAGTGGGCTGGTGCTCAGCGTGTGTGGGGTCTCCCACAGCTCTTGGACTGGATCGAGGGCAAGGAGAGGAACATCCGTGCGCTGCTGTCCACGTTGCATACAGTGCTGTGGGATGGGGAGCACCGCTGGACCCCTGTGAGTATGGCTGACTTGGTGACACCAGGGCAGGTGAAGAAGCAGTACCGCCGTGCGGTGCTGGTCGTGCATCCGGACAAGGTGAGCTGGCGTGGTGGGGTGGGCGAACAGGCAGGCAGGTGGGATCGGGAAGCCCGCTTACCGCTTCTTGTCCCTGTTTTTGTTTGCAGGCCACAGGGCAGCCCTATGAGCAGTATGCCAAGATGATCTTCATGGAGCTCAATGACGCCTGGTCTGAGTTTGAGAACCAGGGCTCGAGGCCCCTCTTCTGAAGCCCTGCAGTGGCTGTGTGAGCACTTACAAGGTCAAGGCCAGGTTGGTCTTGAGAGTCTCCCAGGCTATGGGACGCGACACCGATGCAGCACAGGCAGCCCAGACCCTCCGCTCCCTGCTGTCCCATGTGGTTCCTGGACAAACACCCGCCTGCAGCGCAGGGCAGAAAACATTCCAAAGCTGAATTTTGTTTCATTTTTTTTTCCTTGTCCCAGAGGAATGGTGTTGATTTATGCTTCTTCCACAGTTGTCACAGTTTGTGATTCATCCTTTGTTTGGTGTCTGTCACCCTCCAGCACGCTGTTGACTGTGTTCACTGCTGTTACTTCCTGGGCTGGAGTGTCCATCCCACTTTGTAATCAGTCTGATGATCGTCTGTACATAATTAAACTTTTTCTGATGATGCTGTGGTCTCCAGCCTGACATTGGCTGTGCCAGGCTGTCTCCTGTCCCCCTCAGCCTGTCACCTGCCACTGCTCCATTGGATCTGGACCCTGACCTGCAGCTGGGGTGGACACCAGTATGGCCAGCAGTATCTGAGCACTGCACTGGAAGGTTCTGGAGACAAAGCAGAAAGGAGCCTGGGCTAAGGCGCAGCCTCACTCCACTTCTTGAGAGCTCCTCCTCACCGTCTTCCCCCAAGTTCAAGACCCCATCATGGGCTGCAGAGTCGGAGCTTGGTTCATTGCTTGGACACCTGCTCTGCTGGCCAGGTCTGAGCCCACTCAGGCCTCTGGGATGACTGTAGGCCATTGATGTAGTCTAGGAGGTCGCCTACAGCAGGCAGGCCAGGAGCATGGAGAGCCCAGTTACTGCTCCCGGGCACATTGTCCAGAACTTCCTGGGCCCAGGGTGCCATGAGACTGAAGAGAGAGGCAGACAGGTCCAGGGTCACTTGGTGATGGTGGCAGCAACACTGGAGGATCCTGCAGCATGGGTCAGAGGAAGGGCGCATACACTGGTCAGGACAGTGACATCATCAAACTGCTACCCCAGTTTCGTCTTAAGCCAGAGTGGTCGGGCTTGTCCCTGGCCTCAAGTCCTGGTGTGAAGCCCCATGCGGGGCTCTGAGGGTTTGGTCTGTTCACAGTTTGTGGGAAACCATGCAGGTAACCTCTCTACCCTGTCACTGAGGTGACAAGGAGTGTTGTGCTGCCCATAGGCTGCCCTGGGCCTTCAGGATGGCTCTTGTTGCTTGGATTAAAACCCGTTACCAGCAGTTCTCAGGACTGCACCTTCATGGCAGTGACGACGCTGGGTCTATGGGCCCTGGTGTCCCCTCACCACTGGCCACTTGCTGCCACCCTGTCCAAGGCCCCACATAGCTTCTTTCTCTAAAATATGAGTTGTATCCAGGGACGTGAAATGAGGCTGTTGCCCTTCTTGGGATCTGTGTCAGCTGCCTGGGTGTGGGGCAGAGAGCAGAGCATGTTTGAAGCCAATGGCAAAAACAGTGTGTTGAGGCTGTATGTTGTCAGGGATTGTGACTCAGGACACAGAATTTATAATATTATTTATGATAGTCACCCAGAGTTAAATACAAGAAAGTTCAGGAAATCTGTTCATAACACTGAAGACCCAGAATATTCAGACAAGGGCCTGGATCCCATAGCAATGTCTGCATGAGTCCAGCTGAAGAGCTGGAGCCCATAACAATGTTTCTCATGTGTCCAGCTGGAGGCCCAGAGCCCACAAGAAGAACTCATGCTAGTCTGTTTTACAGATTTGCACTGGGAAGGCCTGCAGGTCAGCAGTGGGAGCTAGCAAGTCTATGCTAACAGGGTGAAAGAGCTGAGTGTTCTACATTGGAGCTGAGAAGTCACGCTCAAAATAGGGACCAGGGCTCCCCTAAAAGTATCACAGCCATCCTCAGTGACAGTGAGGTCCCAAGCTCCTCTGACAATGAAACAGGTACATGCCAGAAAGCCAGCATGACAAGCTTTTCTTGGAGATTAATCAGCATACATCTTCCTCTCCAGAGCCAGGAAGGTGATGCTAAGAACCAAAGCTCCTCCAAAGTGAACCACAGCCACTCTCTGCAACAAGGTCCCAAGCTCCTCCAATGAGAATGGCCAAATTCATACTGGGGAAGCTAGTCATGAGCTCTTCCAGGAGAACCAACGGCTTGAAGCAGCAACACTTAGAACACACAACGCCTAGCTCTTCTCTACGTCTCTGTGCCGGCAGCTTTCCTCAGATGGGTCATCTACAATCAGCACCATGCTGATTTAATTCAGCTGGTGCTAAGTTAATCACCGGTTTTTAATCCATAACACTGCCAGAAACGCTCGGGGACCCAAGAATGAGGACCACCAAGAGCCCCAGGACTCCCATGGGACCTTGTGCTGGGAGAGGGAACCTTGGCCACTAGAGGGCAGTGTGAGGTGTGGTTCCTGTCATGACTGTGGCCAGGATGGGTAGATGTCCTGATTTCAGTGGGCTCCTAGTCACCACCTAGGACAGGAGGAGGATCCCAGAGGGAGGCTGCTAGTGTCTCTGGAGGATATGGAAGTCTCTGCAACCCTCCCCCTGGACGCCCCTGGTGGGGCCCTGGCTGTTTGGCCACCTGCAGAACCTGTAGCCCACAGGCCCCTGAAGCTGCAACCTGATTCTGTCACTTGCACTCCAGCTCCCAGAGCAGTACCTCCCATTTTCTTGCATGGCCGCTATTTTTAGTGTCAGTGCTTTTAAAGAATAATGAGCAACCTAAATAGGTGCTGAGACACTCACATCAGAGTTGTTTGCAGGCAGTCGCCAGCCCAGCAGGCCCTGCAGTACCAGGAAGGGCAGCACTTACCCTAGACCTGGCAACAAAGGCTGGGATCTGGGGGTCTGTGGGGCATTTGGGCAAGATGGGCATCCTCAGGGTCCCTGGAGCCCAGGAAGGGAAGTCAGTCCTGGGCACGGCCACCCCTGGCATCTCCACTTCTCTGCCCTGGCCCTCAGACATTGATTGACTGAAGCTGACATTCTCCCCACCACTGCTGTCCCTCACACCTCCCCTTCTAGGCTCAGCCCCAGCCTGCCCTTTAGGATACTGGCTAGCTATTGGGGCTCCTAAGGGGCAGGGGAGCCCCTCCTAAAAGGAGGGGTCCTAACTGCAGGTCAGGGGACTGGTCTAGGCGGAATTGAGGCCTGGCCTTCCCTTCGTCAGTGTCTTCTGCCCTTGCTGCCAGCATTGACAAGCATGCATTCACAGCCAGGCTGCTGGCCATGCCCTCCTGAGCTGAGTCTGGCTCTGTTCTCAGGATGTAGACCTGAGGTTTGAGGCACAGTGGATGTCCACACACAGGACCCACGAGAGACTTGCTGGTGCTGCCTCCCACAGAACACACAGCCACACTCACCCCAGGACACCCGTGAGAGGCCAGCCAGAGATGCCCATTGGGGGACTCAGGCCTGTGCACACTGGTGCATCCTCTTGGGAAGAGCATGGCTGCTTCCTGCAAGTGAAATGTGCACTTCTTGCATGACTGCATCAACCAGGTGCTTGCCAAGACCAGTGGCAACATGATGCACAGAGTGCTGTAGCTGAGGGCTGGGCATGTGGAGGGGAAGAGGGGCCATCTGCTGGCTGGTAACATGTAGGAGAAGAGGGGTGCCAACTGGCTGCACAGCAATGGTGTTGATCTTGGGTGTATGCTCAGTGGAGGAAGCCACCCTGAGGCAGAGTGTGGAGGCACGAACCAGTGCATAGGACCGGCAGCGACGGTGTCTGTGGAGACCTAGCTCTGCAGGTAGAGTCCCTGTGCCCCTGGAAGGTACCTGCGCCAATGGCTCCCTGAGCCCCTGAGCAGCACCAGTGGGGCATCCATGACCCAGGAACAGGCCAGAGAGCTGGGCGCACAGACAGTGGGGTTCTGGAAAGGGCTGGTGAGACCCCCAGAGGATGAGAGGCCAGCCACCCCACCTGTCCCTGGAACTCCTGCCCCCTCCAGGGACCTGGCACATGGCTACAACCCTCCCACACTCTCCTGGGGACACCTTGGGGGAGCCCTGGCATTTTCCCCAGTGCATGGCTGAATAAGGGAAACCCCAGGCTTGAGGTGAGAACTTGTCTTCACCACAGCCCTGCAGGACCTGAGACTTGGCCCCTCTGGGTGTGAGCTGCACTAGGGAACAGATCAGATTGTTGTCACATCTGTGAGACAGCCACTGATGTTCAGCAGCTGGAGGAGGGGCAGGCTGGTGTCCTGGGCCCACATCTGGGAGTCTGCTCTGCCTTTGGCTGGAAGGCAGCATCGCTGGCTCTGCACCCTTTCAGCCCTTCATTCACTCAGCAAACACAGGCTGACCTCCTCCAAGTGCCCTCCCCATATCCAGCTCACTCAGCCACACAGAGGGGCTAGCACAGTGAGAGGCGAGCGAGATGGGATGCCTAGGAGCAGAAGGGAGCTCTGGTCCACAGCACTGCTCTCAACTGCTCTGCACTCACCGACTGAAAAGCAGAAGTGATCAGAAGCTGAGTCCTGAGAGCCCCGCCTCCAGAGTGAGGTTCAGGTCCTGCCCACTTGCCATGGGGAGGGGACAAGGCCAGGCCAGGCTCATCCTCTGGGAGACCTGAAGATGTCTGAGGGTGTGCTAGGAAGGCCACTAGCTCCAAGATCTGCTTCCTGCCTGCATCCATGCCCACAGCCCCACATGCACCCACCCAGCTCAGCCCCTAGGCCTGGGTGCCGGACTGAACCCTAACTAGGCCGTCTCCATGGGCTTGGGAGTCTGGCAGCATAGGCAGACTCCTGGACTCCTCCCCTCGATCAGTGTTGCACTTACCCATCCGGCACCTCCCCAGGTTGCTGGCCCCTTGCCCTGCCTGCATTCAGATTTTCCTTGGGCCAAGTGGGAGGTCCCTGTGGCCAGCCCCCACCTGCAGACCTTTAAACTAGAGGTGACAGGGTGCCCCCCATGCCTTTTGGTTCTGAAATACCACAGTCACTGTGAAGAGAGGCCCGGCGCAGCCCCTCATCATGGCCGCCAGCAGGCGAGCTTGTGAAAACCTGCAGCTGAGACCTCAGCCTTCACCCCAAAGCTGATGGAGCATCAGGGAAGCAGCTCCCTTCCCATCCCACCAGGAACTGCACAGAATGTATGAAGCAGCTGTTTGGGGAAGTGAGCAGCAGGCAGCAGGGAGCAGGAGCCAGCGTAGAAAGCCTGGTATGTGGTCAGAAGTCAGAGTTCAGGGGTCAGAGGCAGAGCCCAGACAGGAGGGAGCCCCAGAAACCTTCCCAGGGACACACGTGTTGGTAAGTATGGAGATGCAAACGTGTGTGCATGAACATGTGTGAGTGTGACAGGAACTTTGACAAACAGGAACAGAAAGAGTAGAAACTTGAATATGTGGATAAAAAGCGAAGGGTCTTTTTCTCATTTTAAATATTTATGTTTAAAGGAATTGCTAAAGTT